CAACGAAAGGGGGACAATCACCTTTTGGATCCGTACAACATAATCAGTTATAATCTCAAAATCAATTAGGATTTCATTCTATATTCCTTCGGATATTTTTCTCTCTCCATCTTTGATTTTCCTCAGTTCTATTTTTTTTTTCTTTACTTTGTTCTGGGAAAATTGATCTGAGCTACATCTAATATTTCCGTCTCAATATTGCTTCATTTTATTCTACTGTTTCAGTCCACTTCTACTATTCCGATGCAAGTCCAATAAACTTTTCTATTTAGTGTCCTGATGATTTTATGTTTAGTAGTTCAGTTCCTTTTGTTGCTACATGTTTTATGTGCATCACTTTTTTATATACCATTAATATCCTGGCTGAAGTTCTCGAATATTTTTTTTTTTAGTTTTTGTAAAAGTTTTCAATTTTATTATTATTATTATTATTATTATTCCCACGTCCCCACATCATCATCATCATCATCATTCTTCCTTTTCTACTTTATCTTTCTCTATTTCTTCTTCTGAAGGTTTTTTCCTATTGATCAAAAATCGTTAACATATTAATCCTTTCGGATGTTGGAATTTAGCTCTTCATTTTCGTCTTAATCTTCTGTTATTTTACGCGGACATTTTGAAAGAGTTTTTCGAAAGTAGAGAAGCTTTAACAATAAAAAAATATTCAACATTCAATTGTTTTTTCGGATATTCCATTTTTGCATATTTGTCGGATATTGTTTTTTTTTTTATATTTTATTCTATTCACTTGGTATGTCGCTAGTTTATTCACTTAGTATATGAATTCTTATAATGTTTTCATGTCCAGGAATTTTGTTTAAATTACTTTAAATCAATTTTTGTTTATATTAAGATGTGAATGAATATTTTATTATTTAAAAAATGTTAATAATGAATTTTCTGCTGTTTATGTTTTTCCTTTACATAAAAATTCTTATTATTTAAAGTAATATTTCTAAAATGTAAAAATACATCCATCTCATTATTTGTAATGTATGTATCTGTAGATGATCTTTGATTATATTTATATATGCGTGTGTGTGTGTGTATGTATGTGTGCGTGCGTGTTTGTGTATATATATATGTGTTTTACACATGAATGTCTGTGAGCATATATATGTGTGCGTATGTGTTTGCATATATATGTGTGTGTGTGCATACGTGTGTGTGTGTGTGTGTGTGTGTGTGTGCATGTTTTATTGAAAACCACAGACATTTTGTTTTAGACAATTTTTCGGATGTTTCCCTTGTTTTTATACAGGATACCAGATTTCCTGGTTCCAGTCAATGTAATTTGTAAACACTGTGCAGATATTTCCTTGCATTTTAAAGCTATGCCATATAAATTCATTTTGGGGAAAATTATCACCAATGTGATGGTCGAAACTTCTAGGACATAAAACATACGAATGGTTTTTATTCAAACTGCATTAGGTTTCGAAACAAGACAACTGACTGCATCAGAAATATAAATAATACCGGCTGCAGTCGAGATCACAGAGCCATTATGCGCTACACGATCTTTTATTTAGCTTTATATAGCATGTGGTTCGCCAGGGCTACATACAGTTTTGAATACAGTTACTAGACTTTTTGCCAACCACGGCTAGAGAGGCCAATCTGTTTTGCTATTTAACCAATAGCGGGGGGGTCATATTTTTCCCATGGGTATTTACGTGTAACTGAATATAATGAAATTGACAGGAATTCGAACTCGGCACTATGATTTCTCATTCCGGGCCTTTATCCATTACACCCTCTGCACGTCTATCAGAAAGAAATTAATCCCAAATCGACAATGAGGCGTTGATGCTTGTACTCGAAGTCACAATGTTGAAGAAATAACTATATAGCAGTCATTTTTAGCCTGTACACTAACCACAGGCCAGTGTCATTATTCAAAAATAAGAAAAGCTTACCATAAATAATATCTGTCAATAATTGGCCAGATGTTCACGGTTATTATTGCCTCTTATTTCAAAATTTATTATTTCACTTGGACGTTAACGGAATAAATTCATTGAGTAGAAGTTAAACACTAGCAAAATCTTTCGTATTTGTAAATCATGGCGTCCCAGAGACGATAGTTTGTGATAAGGGGTTCTCATTTTGTCAATTAAATATTCGAGATATTCGTGCAGAAGAACATCACAAATTTTCCCACGTCTCCATACCACCTGTAAATATGTTCCTACGTCTCCATACCACCTGGAAGAATATTCACATGTCTCCATACCACCTGTAAAAATGTTTACACGTCTCCATACCACCTGGAAGAATGTTCCCACGTCTCCATACCACCTGGAAGAATGTTCACATGTCTCCATACCACCTGGAAGAATGTTCACATGTCTCCATACCACCTGTAAGAATGTTTACACGTCTCCATACCACCTGGAAGAATGTTCACATGTCTCCATACCACCTGTAAGAATGTTTACACGTCTCCATACCACCTGGAAGAATGTTCACATGTCTCCATACCACCTGTAAGAATGTTTACACGTCTCCATACCACCTGGAAGAATGTTTACACGTCTCCATAGCACATGGAAGAATATTCACACGTCCCCATACCATCTGGAAGAATGTTCACATGTCTCCATACCACCTGTAAGAATGTTCACACGTCTCTATACCACCTGGAAGAATGTTCCCACGTCTGCATACCACTTGGACGAAAGAGGCATCCAACTGTTCACAAATGGTATAAAACCATTCTGAAAGGACAACACCGATTGTCGTTTAGCCAAATTCTTCTTAAAGCATCACAAACCTTTTCAAATCCCGACCGGGAATGCTAAAGAATCTGAAATTGCATATGCATTTGGATGGATCGTATCTTCTCTGATCCCATTTCTAAGGTGGGGAAAAAACAATTGCAGCAGAAACAAAGCCATGATCAGCATATCCATCAGTGAAAGTTTGAAAAATCTTGATCTTGTGTTTGTGATATATATATATATATATATATATATATATATATATATATATATATATATATAAAAAGTTGTTGCCGAGCATAGTGAAATTGAACTCTATAAGTTACGTGATAGAGCTGTATAATGGCCGGGCTGACAAATAGCATAGATAACGTCAGATTCGGATATGTTATGAATGTCTTTGAGTATGAACCACCTCTGGAGAAGATTGATTAATCCTACTGCCATTGATTTATTTAATCTATTGTACATGTGGTTTATCCTCCAGAAGGACTTCCGGTTTTTCCTACTACAGCAAGAAACCACAAAACATCAGGAAACTGTTTTAGATTCTTCTGTGGAGTATAAGACAATAACTTCACTACGATAGGCATTATTGTGACGGTTTTTGTAGCATGTGTGTTTTAGTAGGTGGCTTTGCTAGCCCGATGCCCCACCGGCTTGGGATTTAGAGCTCTTCTTCGCCTAGATTGGTCACCAATCCAAGATAGCGATTAACTCCTAGCTGAGGGTGGGTGAAAGAAATGTCTTCAAACCTTAAATTTGTGTGAAATCTGAATTTGACTTCGGCACGCCAATTTCACAATCTGCGCCGACGACCAGTACATTTTCCGCATGTCCAGTACTGTAATTAATAATGGATTTTATTTTACAGTGGACATTGATAAACACACACACACACACAAAAAAGGATGACAATTACAGGTTGGTTGGTTAGTTATTTTGTTTTATGGCATATCAAAACCTCAGTGGGTCATTTAATGCCAACAACATTTTTGAAATAGATTCATAGCGATAGTTTGGTAAAAAGGTGTGTATGTATACATATATATCTGAACCATTTTTCAATTACTTATTTTTGAGTACAATCCAACTTATTTTAGGAAATTTACAATCTTGGATGGTTTTATTTTCGTAAAAGTTTTTTTTTAAATTACTCACTTGGTAATATTTTGTTCGCACTGGATCAAGATCTACAAACTCTAACAGTATATTGACAATTACAGAAACAAAGACAAAAACAAGATTTAAGCAGCATTGATTAAAACGAAAAATAAAGTAACTTCTTTGTTGTCTACTTCTTTAATTTCACGTTTGTTACTCAGAACTGAGCATCACCTGGGTTATCATCCTTCACTTCCTCCGCTTGTTGTAGACTGCGCATCAACATCAGATATTATTCTCTTCAAAGTTCGATCACCAACAACAGAGTTCAAAGAGTAAAGTTCAAGTCCAGTCCAGTCCATAAGTGGACATTATCAAGCCAGCGTTTAGGTTGTCGACCTTGGCTTCTCCCACCGGCTAACTTTCCTTCTAAGCATAACGTACTCACACCGTGAGTTGATTTTTTGATATGACAATACGGTTTAAGTACTCTTGACTTGATAACTGATGTAATTGGCTTAATCTTGATAATGTTGAGTAGTTCATTGATCGCTGAGGCGTTTTGTTAGTCTCATGATGTGGTTCTGGAATCTAGCGAGCTTTTGAAGTGACTTTGTCGTCCAGTTAACAAAATCGAGACCATATAACACAACTGGTAGGATGTAAGTGTCAAAGACCTTAGCCCTCAAATGATGAGAAACTCGTTTTGATATTAGCAATTCTTTGTTCGTTAAGTATTTCTTCCCAAAACAGCATAAGTTCGTAAAAGTCAAAACAAAGCTATTTTCTGAGATGTGCAATAAAACCTAACATAAGGACATTTTGGAAATCACAATCAAATGTTGAAACGAATCTGTTCAAATATTAAAACAAAGTTCTGATATTTTGGAGAGATTCGTTTGCAGCTGTAAATTGGTTTGTTGCTAATTATAGATGGAACATGATGTCTGATTGGTTTGTTGCTAGAGACGGATGAAACATGATGTCTGATTGGTTTGTTGCTAGAGACGGATGAAACATGATGTCTGATTGGTTTGTTGCTAGAGACGGATGAAACATGATGTCTGATTGGTTTGTTGCTAGAGACGGATGAAACATGATGTCTGATTGGTTTCTTGCTAGAGACGGATGGAACATAATCTATGATAATTTTTTTGGTTCTATTTGCAGGAGGAACCAGAAGATGAGGAAATTGAAAGGGAATTTCATCGGCCCCATCGGCGCCGAGCTCTGTCTATCAGTTCCAAACGGTCAACTGTTTCTGTCTCATCTGTTGCCCGACCCCTTGCTGCTTCGTGTGTTATTCCTGAATCTCCATTATGACCTCATCTATCTTCTCATTGATTTGGAGTCAATTTTGTAAGTTCTTTGCATTCATCCATTAAAATCTGTGAAATTTAAAAAAAAAAAACCCAGTGAAGTCACCAGTCTTCTTTATTTGAGATTTGGATGATGAGAAAAAGTATTTGAATTTGTGCTTGACGATTAGTACGTGCATGAAACTTTAAGTAGAATCGAGCATTGAGGAACAGATATAGAATCCATCTTAATATATATATATATATATATATATATATATATATTGTCATCCACAGACAGACAGTTTTGCTGTATCACAGCTCATCAATGTGGTTAGACGTCCGGTTACCTCTAGCTAGGATCGAAACCCGACTGAATTGGTGTCAGTCGTGGATTCTACTATTAAGCCGTTGGCGCACAGCAGGGATAAAGGTGAATTTAACCGTATTTATTTTTTATATAAACTCACAGTGACTGAGAGAACTCGATTCGATTTACCGAAGAGTCTTGCATTATTAGCCGTAATAGTCACTGTTTACAAACCCACACTTCCTCCCCAGAGAGCTCAACCGAAATAAATTTTTCAGGAGCATACATATTGTCATCCACAGACAGACAGTTTCGCTGTATCACATCTCATCAGTGTGGCTAGACGTCCGGTTACCTCTAGCTATATATATATATATATATATATATATATTATAAATTAATTGATTTAAAATATGGTTATAACCATATTTTAAATCAATTAATTTATATATAATCTGTAAATTTACATTGAGCACTATTTTGTAAAAAAAAAAAATCTATAAGAACACCGGATTTTATATCTTACTGTTCTTTCTTTTTTATTTATATATATATATATATATATATATATATATATATATATATATATATATTCTTTATTTTAGGGATTACATAAAAACAAGTGAGTAACGCTACACAAATGCAATCATGTTTCGATGTGTATTAACATATGGCGTCAGGTGTCCTGACGAGATGCGTTGTTGCACATTGAAACATGATTGCATTTGTGTAGCGTTATTGCGATCTTCAGACAAACTGGTTTATTTTTTTTTAATTGGATCTATTTAGGCTTATTTGATTATGTTTGGCGGTGGGGCGAGGAAACGTCAGTGTTTGTTTGGGGTGACACAGTCATACACATGGACACACACACATACAGGTGCACGCATTTTAGTTCACACACACACACACACACATCCATATAAACAACCCGAGGCTTATATGGATGTGTTTGTGTGAACTAAAATGCGTACACCTGTATGCATGTGTTTTTATGTGTATGAGAGTGTCACCCCAAGGTCATAATCATACAAATGAATATGTTAGCTCTATCAATGATATTAAGCACTTTCCACTAAGTACTGCACATATAAAATAATAATTATATATATATATATATATATATATATATATATAAATATAAAAGTGAACATAGAAGTCAACACTCAGGCCTGACGATTGCATATAACCTGAAACAGACTGTCACCTCTAAGTGTTGACTTCTATGTTCACTTTTATATTTACACACGCTCTATCTCTGATATTGAGCACTTTATCCCATAAATATAGCACATCTTAAGACTATATTTCTTCATATATATATATATATGTATATATATATATATATACATACATACAAACTCATATCAGCCCAACTAAATATGTTAGTTCTGTCACTGATATTGAGCACTTTCTAATAAGTACCGTGCATATATATATAAATAATATATATAAAAAATGCATATATATTTATATTTATACACATACACATTTTACACACACACACACCTATATATCTATATAATTCCTTGCATTACATTCTCCAGCGCCTCAGTGATTCTCTGCTTAAGTTCCTCTAGGTTTGTAGGTAGAGGTGGGGATATAGACCTGTCCTTTCACATAGCCCCATAGAAAAAAATCACAAGGTGTCAAGTCAGGTGAACCTAGTGGCCATTTCAACACCACCTTTTCATTATCATTTGCTCAGCCTAATCCATCTTTCTTAGAAGTTTTCTCATTGAGATAAGTCTGCACTGAAGAACATGACGCAAGACATGCTTACAGAATGTTTGGGAGGAACTGGACTACCGACTTGCTGTGTGTTGTATCACAGGCGATGCGCACACTGAACATTTGTGAAGCTTTGTGAAATCAGTTATAAAATTGACGTCTCTTTGAATATCTTGTTCGAATTTTGATGAATAAATCTTTTATTGTTCAACATGAAGCCTATTTAAATTCGTTTTCCTGAGACATCTATTCACATATAGTTCACATTTTTAATAATGTCAATTTCTTTTTGGACGTCCTGTATATATATGATAGATCCTCCCGTCGATTTTGACTTAAGAGAATCAGACAACCTCATTCAGTTTTTTATGTTTGTGTCGTATGTGACACTTCAATCCTTCTTGTGACCTGCATATTGTGCAACAGAGAACTTTTGCTGACGCTTTTCGAATTTCTGATACCACTATGGCACAAATATATCCAATTATTTCTATCCAGGGTAATTTTCATAATTTTCTGGTGTAGGTCTGAGCGTCAACGACTTTCAGAACTTACGCTTTGGTACAGATAGTTTTGGGGCTTGGTATTGTCGAAAACTTTTTGCTGTTTGCATTATTATCTCCTTTGTCGAGGTGTTGTTGTTGTTGTTCTGTAATTGAGCACTTTTTGACACACTGATAAATCTATTCTGGTGTTTTTGTCTTTCCTCTCCTCAAATAGCAGTGATTTTATGGCCATTCCATTCTTGGTCATATGGTAATTTCCTCCTCAATGTTATTTAGCTGGTGAGTATATATATATCCACCTTGTGTTAGCCGAGTCGGGATGTTTCCCAGGTCTTGAAACTAATAACCTGAGGGCACTGATGGTAAATATCATGAAATTATGAACAGAAGGTCACCTTTGATGTCATGAAATACTTGAAGTGTGTAAAGTAGCCGTTAATATTCAAAGAGATATTCTGTTTCAATGATTATCACATATCAAGAAAATCAAATGACTCATATTTCAAGTGTCATAACATTTTCTCATGGGACGGTCGAAATCTCTCCATAATAGATATGGCTTGTGAGCCATAGACTGCCTCACCCTAATCTTCTTTTATGTGTCCTGCCCATCCAGTCAGGGCCCTCCACTATTTCTTATCCTTTGTAGCTCTTTGCAATGTTTGTATTTTACTATCCATCTCACCTGTTTTGCGCAAGTTCTTGAGGGTAGATTATTCACAGTTCTCCTATGCTACTATTCAAAATGTCATGTGTCAAATCCTCTAAACCCTCTTTCCTCGTTAGGTGTTCCAGAAATTTCAGTTGTATTTTTCTGATTCCCTTAGAGTTTCAACTCTGATCTACACTTTCTAATAACCTGCAACAAACTATTTTTTTTACAGGTATTTTTCCTACCCATCTGACCGGTCAGTTTGGCTGCCCCCTCTCCCAACCAACAGTATTGGCTCACAAGCTGATGAAACTGTGAAGTGTCTGCTGTTGTCTTGGTTGGAACTCCTGACCTTGGTCCCTGGATCCTAGGAATCACTTGTGGATGTCTTGTGGTGGAATGCTTTAGTATGACAGCCATTGATCCATGTCCAGCATGGATTTTTTTTACTGCCAATCTGCAACTACAGAAAGAAAAAAAAAAGAAAAGAACGAAAAAATACAAAAAAAAATATAAATAAATAAATAAAAATTTAAATATTCGGGGTCCACAAAAAATAGTGTAAGCATTTGAATAAAGTATTAAAAAGATAAATGAGAAATCATGAATTTAATAATCGTCATTTTTATTTCAATACAAATCGAATATTTGAAGATTTAAGTATTTTAAGTAACAAAAAAGAAAAAAAAATCGTTTTGTTTACAAGTTATCCTGAATACATGATCAAAAAACATGTAAAATATTTAAATTGGTTCCGTTATTAAATCGTTCACTGGTTTGAGTATTTAGAAGAGGGATATTGACAAAGAAGAGCTATGACAAGCCACAAAGACATTGTCTGCTCATTTCATTCTATTTTTACAGATCAGTCCTAAAATGCAGTCATTGAAAGAGATTTTCAGATAATTGAAATCATTTTCTGTTTCCATAATGCTTCAGTTGATCCTTTTTATGGCCTTCTTCAGGTGTATTCTCCATATGGAAAAAAAAAACTTTTTTGCACAATGCTTGTGAAATAAGCGATTTGATTTTTGGTAACAGCTCGTTCCATAACGTTTCACATGGAGATATTCTCAGTTCTTTTCTTGGTTAAAGTATTTAATACTGTGTCCCCTTTTGAACAAGAAAAGGTACACCATGTCGAAATACACATCGATCTGACTTATGCCTCTGGACAACAAGTTATACGCCGATTCTTTCAGTTTAGTCACTCTCTCCATCAACCTTCTGTCTTTTATTAAGAAGGCTGTAGAATGAGCTGGCTGAAAAGTTGTAGGAGCAGCAAAAATAATTTTAGTCATTAAGGCCAATCTTATCATGCTTCCTGGCTAATCTTGTGACATACTTCCCTCCCGTGACAGTGGTTGGTGTTTTTGAGCGCACAGGTAGAAACAAGAATTTGAAAAGGCAAGCAACCCCAACCCCTGCCTTTTTGAAGTTTGGTGCAACAGAGTCTTCCAAACCTTGTTTCTCTTCCGTCTTGTACCATGTTAAGTAAATATCTACAAAAAACATCCATTTAAATTGACATTTCTTTCTGAAGACTGCAGCAGAATAAAAAAAAAATGACTGAAATTATTTGTAAGAATTTGTTTGCAAAGGATGTTCCGACTTTATTCTTGACCATCATCAGTAAAATTTTTAAGACCTTTTTATACGCAAGATACTTAACTCTCCAGTACAAAAGATAAGTAATGAAATATGAATTTTCAGGTGAATTCTTTGTACTTTGTTCAAATGCTTGTTTGATTTTGTTGTGGATTGTTTGAGTTGAACAAAACAAAAAAAAACAAAAAAAAAAATCCCAATGTTTGGATTGTGAGTCTATTTGACTACCCCAGACGTGATTTGATCCTGACTCAAGTCTATCTAAAGGACAGTCAACCTAATGTTATCAGTGATTGTGCCAGAGTGAAACTCAATAAAAAATATATTTTTTGTTTGAATCTCCAAGAAATATGTATAGTTTTTGCTGCAAATATGTTGGTTGCTATCATTGCAACTCTCACTCCTTGCTGATTTCTTTGTTTTACTGGTGGTAAATGTTAATGTCGTATTTAATTTTCCAATTTGCATTTTTTTTTTTAAACAGATACGCTTATCTATTCAAATGAGACCTGAATACACATTGCACATTATTTGTGCAGGTATGTAGTCGTTGGCTTTATTTTTGCTTGTCACTAGGAACATGGCATCTGAGAATGTTTATTCATTGTCGATCCTGCAGAGTTTTCAGATGCCCTTTATTGTCTCATTCTTCACAGAGGGTGGGTACAGCTCGTTCTCCGCCTAATAACTGTAGGACTCGGGAGGGCGTTTTATAAGGGCGAAATCATTCCTATCTGGATGATTCTGATCTGCCAAACTGTGGGATATATGCTGCAACTGATGGTATCCAGCAGCAAGCTAGAGTTTAAGCCAAACGCTCCAGCATATCCCACAGTTTGGAGCCATCAGATTCCAGAGCAGTTGGATTAAGGGGGGAACCTACCAAGGACTGACAATCCCAACAGCATATCTTAGATATAAACTTGTCATCATGGCAAGGTTGAGGGATGAAGGTAGTGTAAGAAATCCCTTTTATTTATTTATTTTTATAACTAAAAGATCGATCCAATGTCATAATGTTAACATTATCCATCAGGGTTTGTAAAGTAATTACGTATTTCACCGCTATAAATTAGGAGTGAAGCAAGCCATTGACATTATTCAGACTATTGTCCTCATCTTTGTCGCCATATTTATTATAACGTTTTGGCCGTTGTACGCTCTGGCCTTCTTCATGTGGTTGGAATGTCGAACTGAACCCTTTATTTCGTTCACTTGGGTAGACTGTTCTAGTTCCACGTGCCATGTTTTTAATGGATGTCAGTTATCAGTTATCTCCTGTTAATTACCCTCTCCAAGTTCTCCACTGTCTTAACTGGGTATTGAACTCACGCTGTTTGGGTCCTGTCACTGGATCTAACCAACGCCTTTATCCATTGTGCCATGTGTTCTTGAGGAACTAGAACAGTCTACTCCAGTGAGCGAAATAAAGGGTTCAGTTCGACATTTCAACCACCTGAAGAAGGCCGGAGCGTACAACGGCCAAAACGATGTAATATATATAGTGACAAAGATGAGGACAATAGTCCGCATAATGTAAATAGTGTACACAATACCTCATCTCAGAAATATAAACAGATACTGAACCAAACCAGAATGAAGAATTAGTAGATCATCTCTTCGACCCCAAAAATGTGCCATTTGTAATGTACTATCAGGCTTAGCACACTCGCTTTCGCTTCGCGTAAGTAAGATATATTCATTACTTGAAGTCTTTGAAACAAAAATTTTAAATAAACATTTCATTCATAAATTGGCTTGTTATAGTTAAGGAAAGTTTTACAAATAGATGCCAACTTGTTGAAGGCCATGTAAAATGCAAATTTCAAACACTTTTCTGCACTATATAAGACAATTTTCCTAAATAGAACTATTTTTTATTTGAAAATCAAAACAATCCTCAAATAAAAGAACAGTGATGAAGGACAGTTAATTAATGAAATAAACTTTTTTTTAAAATCAATATGCAAATTAGTTAAACCTGAAGAGTGATATTGACTAGATGTAGATAATATATAAAACAGATATTGAATTTTCAGCGTGTAACTTGAGTAAGGTCGCGTCTACTTATTATCTCAGTTCCGTCTTTGGGTAGAGTGCGCTCAGGGGCTTCTCTGAAGAGGTGCCCAGCCCTGGGGAACCGCGCCCTCCCATTGCACCAGAGGGAGGGATTGGTGCTCGTACCGAGGCCAGTGCAACCAATGGGGGATGAGGGGATTTTTTGTTCCTGTCCACACCTAAAAATAGACCTTGTGTTACTTCTCATCTAAGTCGGGGGACAGAGTAAATACCGCGTGTAAGTTACTATAGAACTACGACTTTTTAATTTCAGAATTTATGGGAGAATTGAGCTCCAATTTTGCATTTATTCATATAGATTCCATAATACCGCGCATATAATATATATATATATATATATACACACACACACTTTTCACATATAGATTCCATAATATAGGAATTACTTAATTAGCTATTAGCTCTTCAAATGTTGAATGCATAACTAATTCTATTTTCTCATTTTTACACTATATTAATTTTATCTTATAAATTGTCCTGTTCTGTCACCCATGAAATAAAAATAATTGTTTGTATGGAAAATAAGGATTTACATACATCAAATCGTCTTTAAATTAAGTGGCAGCAGAAGAATTATCGCTGAACTTTTAAAAGGTAAGCTTAAATATTAAATTAATACTTAAAATCAGCGATCAATTTTGAGTTCTGTAGTTTATTGATGCCTATCACGTCTATTTCTCTCTAGCTATTGTGAGGATGGCCAAACCAAGAGTCCTTCACAGGAGCTTACTTAAAATTTTAAGCTAGCAGCAATTTTCGGATACAAAAGGAAAATAAGAGTTACCCCCCTTGAATCATGAAAGCAACAATAATGGCTTGTATAATATATATTTTTAAACTCGCATAATCTGGCAACTCTGAATCTGAGCTCAACAAAAATCGTTCCCTGCGACTAGCTTTTCTAGGGCTTTTGAATGAGCTAAGAATTATTGAAATTGGACCAGTGGGAGTGCTTGGACACTCACATACACTGTACTTTATATATAAGATTTCAGAGATTCTTTTAGTCACTTTTCCATCGGTGTAATGTAGCTTCCCTGTGACTTTCTATAAATACTTTTATGGTAAATGTTCTGATGAACTTTCCTCTATGGTACATAGACTCCATGAATAATACTCAATTGGCAGCAAGGTCTCATCATTTTACAGTTGAAATGGCGAGAGATGTAACCGTAAGTTCTATGCTAACAGTTTCTTCTATTGCACTTCTCACTTGTTGAACTCTTTTCTGGCTTCCAAGTCAACTTTGATCTTCAAAAGTTGAAATGCAATGTCCATTGTCATCTCCCATCTTCCTAATTCTTGCTCTTTTATTATTTTCTCTCCACTCTAGTAACCAATTGCATCCTAGTGACTTTATTGCCTTGCTTGGGGGTGATATGACAAAAAAAAAAAAAAAAAAAAAGGGGAGGGGCAGAAATTGCAGAGAGAATTTTTGTTCCTCATGAAATTTCATTTGAGAACCAAGTACAAAGTTCCTCCATCTGCTGCAGTCTTTAACCAGGAGTGCCAATACTTCACGTTTGCATCCCATTATTACAGGTGATAAAAAGTGGTTTTCAGCAGAACTGAAAAGGAGAGTACTTCTCAAAATGAGAAACTGGTTTCAACACTAAAACCAAGATTCCATCTACAAAAATTCTTGCTTTGTGTCTGGTTGAATATGAAAGGCATTTTCCAGATGTTCATTGCCAGTAACCTAACCTAGGAGATGAAGTATTTTACCAAAAGAGTCGACTTTAGGTAAACAGGAAAAGGTGTTATTCTTTGATATGACACTGCAAAACAAACATCATTAGGATAGAAGCTTCTTCCACATCCTCCATAGTCACCAAATGAAGCATTGACAAATTTTCATTTGTTTTAATTACTAGAATATCATGAAAGTGACAGAACATTCTGAAGCATAGAAGTTAAAGTCATTCAAATTTTTTCATGTGCTCCTGTTGGGCAGCAGTTTTTGAAAATGAAGTGGATTACATTTTGGATAAATAATATTGAAAGAAATTTAACTTATCTGGTAAAATCTAATTACTTTCTAAAGGCCCTAATAGTGTGAAATGAAGGCTTTGATGTGGAGTAATGGTTAACAAGTTAATCTAGCAGTGTTTTGCAAAATTTTCAAGCAACAGCAGACGTAGGAGCAAATGAAAATATGGCATATTAGCAAAATTTTTGAAGGGCATACATTTAAATGTAATGAAAAAACCTAGATTTAAAAAATATACACTCACAAACATGAATTTTATTTAGTTTGAAATTTGTGCCTAGTGTTTTTTCATGATTACTTCAATTTTTGGTTGAATATGCGATAAGCAGGTTCATTTCTTCACTTGAGTAGTCTTTCTTGCTTCTTATTTTTTATGCTATTTAGGGTTGAGAAGCCTAATTCACATAAGAAGTAGAAAATTGCAATAAAACTGGTAAAGCCTTTTTAGCTAATGTGGAACAAAAAGTTCAAGACTTATTCAAATACTAACACTGTACCATCACTACTTCCACACACACACACATTTATGCTGTGACAATATTTCATGGCACACTCATATGCCATGGCATGGAGCTTGAGAATTACTGGTCTAGCAAATGGCACAATGGTTGCTCCCACATGTGGCCTTGTTCCATACAAAATTAATATCTATGATATGCTAAAGTACCATTTAGTTTGGAGTTTAAAATGGAAATATTGTATTCTTTTCATAAAAAAAAAAAAAAAAAAAAAAAAAAAAAAAAAAAAGGGAAAGTACTTTTCCTCCTCATTTAAATAAAACAATATGGCAGGCATGATTATTTTGTGACTGCATAAGTAAAAGAAAATTATTTGCTCTATTTCCAATCATTTTTTAGTGAAGAATTTACAAACTGTGGGACAAGTTTTGTGCTCTTCCTTAATTTATAAGTGTTTGAGATTTCTGCTGATAGAAGTTCTGGCCTACATCAAATAATGGTCACACAATTCCACATCATTACTTGCTGAAGGCCATTTGAAAACTGAACTCTTTACTCCCAACCTCACCAAATAACTTCAAATTCTTCTCCTCCCCAGAGTTAGAATTAAGGTCATTACCAGATCAGCTTCACTGCCCCCCCCACCTCCTTTCGGCTTTGTCCATTATTTCCAGAATCTGGAAACCATTCATCAAGTAGATTTTATATGTCAGTTAATTTGTTTCAAAATTATTTACAAGGAAATTGGTTGAAAAGAAATAAGATGCTGTTACATTTGCAAATGTGATATTTGAACTAGAAAGTTGGTCATTGTTTTGGAGGAAAGAAACAGGTAAATATTTCAAGATGGGTTATATTTTCCAAAATAAAAATGGTTCTTACAGCAGCCAATTTTTTTTCTCTGCTTTTCTTTTATTTACACACCTCCCAACCTTTTCTGCTACCTTTAAATGTTTTCCTCATTACTTTTTCATAATTTATCAATTTTGTTTTTTCCTTCTCATGATTGATTCCTTTCAAGTTGAAAATGTTTCAAAGAACAATATGCAATAATCATCCCACTAAATAGGGGAACTAGTTGTTAAATTCCAAGATGAAAATCTAAGTTTAGGTGCAAAGAACTTTTTTCTGACAAGTCCCCCACTGGTCATGGAGGCATAGAAGAAAGATCTATTCCCACAGCCTTTCTCAAAATAGGAAGGGACAATGAAAATTCAAAGCCAGTCAGTACCCAATGAGAAAAGAAACCAAAAGACAATTTAGAGTTGATGCCAAGGGGAAAAATATAACTTTCTTTGTTTCTATTTTATAGAAGGACTAGCAGTAGAGCCCAGCGTTGCCCAGGGATGTAACAGTAAGAGATAGATCAAGTATCGACCATCATAAAGACTGGAAAATAAGATTGACAAAGATTATTGTTTAAGGTTGATGGACACGCATGTCTTAATTAGTTTTTTTTTTTTACGAATTGGTCAAACCCAAACAAAAACATTGTTTTCAATCGTTATGAGTCTATCAATTGAATAGAATTTTATTATAAACAATTGTCTTGTAAATGGAATTTTTAAAGCATTCTGAATGTAAAAATAAAGAAAAAAGTGTGCAAGACAATAAGAAACACTACCAAAAAAAAAAAAAAAAAAAAAAAAAAGAAAAGAAAAAAAAAAGAAAAGAAAAAAAAAAGTGAAGTTTTGTTGAAAAATGTAGGAAATCCGATCCAATATATAAACGTACAGACACACACACAATCTGCGTTTTATAATAAGTAAGATTTTGATAAATTTCCCTTCAGACAAGATCTCCAGAATGAGAGCATAAAGGGAGAACAGAGAAAAATAGCAAGGCATTTCCTCATGCCAGTCATTATATATTAAATATAAAAGTGGACATTGAAGTCAACACTGAGCAGTGACAGTCTGTTTCATGCATAAGTGCAATCTTCATGCCATCTGGGTGTTCACCTCAGTGCTCCCTTTTATCTATCCCCGATTCTGAGCACCTTAACCCATAAATATAACATACTATATATATATATATATATATATATATATATATACACACACACACCCCTTTCATCGAATATGACAGATTCTTTGATTTAGTTTTTTTTTTTTTTTTTAATACAATTTTTCATGCTATCTAATAATTTTTCGAATGATAAATTATACGAATATGGTCTGGTATGTCACCAGGAGTATTTAAATGAGATCTAATTTGTAACATAATTGTTGATAACACAAATATAATAGCATCATCTACATGCAAAAAAAAAAAAAAAGCCCAAAAGTAATGGAAGCCTTATGAATAAAAACCAACACCAAATCATATCAACTATGAAACAACAAACTATTTCTTGTTAAGAGTTAATATATTTCATCCTTGAAAATTGCTAAATGTATAGCCGAAAGTGCTCAGATAAAAAGACAATTGGACAGTTTTTATATAATTTATCATCCAAAAAGAAAAAAAATTATTAGATCACGAGAAATTGTATAAAAAAAAAACAAAAAAACGAAATCAAAGTGCCTTGTCTGTCGTATTCAATGAAATGTGCATGAAAGAAAGATTGCTGCCTAAATACACACAAAGATAGATAGATATGGTTGGTGCATAATTATTTTTGTAGGCAAGTTATTTGTTAATAAAAATATTTTATTTTCAGGTTATAAAAACATGCCAATAATCATACGCCCCGGGATAATCATTTGAAAATGTTATTATTGAATTGTTGTTTCCTTTTTTTTCATAAATATTGTTTAAAAACGCCTGATAATTATGCACCATCTCAATACAAGTTTACTTCTATGTCCGTTTTGGTAACTTGAACATCCATGGTATAAGGTGGCATTACTTGAGATCTGCAATTACTGAGAAGTTAACAGTCATCTTAGTGTTTCTGCATTTTTGGAAGACCTTTCTTATTATTGTTATTGTTATATATTCATAATGGTTGCCTGAAGGAGACCAGATACAGATGAAAAGCCAAGCATTGCAAAATAACATCCATTCCAGAGACATTGGAGTCAAAGAAGCAGCTTCAGATTGATCTTAATTTGGATTTCATTTAATAGCTGAAGAAAAGATCAACTAAAAATTGGGATTAAAAAAAACCCAAAAAAACAAAAACAAAATGTAAAAGTCTTTGGAATTGGAGCCGGTGTCACTTAGTTTGAAATCTGCTTGTCTAACAGGAATTTCATTTTTTTAATTTTTTTTTATTCTTTCCTTAAGGTTAGCTTAACAACACTGAGTCTTTTCAGGCATCAAAAACTGTCTTAAAGAATCACAGTTCCTCAGAGTATTTTCTGTCCTGTAAATTACATTATTTTTTGACACATTTACCACAGTTATGTAGTGAGGAGAGCTGTCATCCATTATCACAATTTTAAAAATATAACCTATGACCCTGAAATCATGTAGCAAGTTCTACTAGAGATTGAACAAAGTAACTCATGAAACCTTTATCCAGCACAAGTGAAAATAAACTGAATAGAGAGTTGCTGGGATTGAGTTTATGCCTCCCACCAATCATGTTATAAGATGGATTTTTTTTATGGCTTATCAACCTTTTGCAGGTTATTTAAAGCCAGAAAATATTTTTGGAAATAATGATTTATTGATACAAGTCCTACTATTTAACCCTTAGCTAGGAGAAAAGAGGTAGATTCATGCGTTTCTCAAGAAGGTATCTGCACATAGATGAATGTAGCAAATCTGACTGGAATTGAAACACGGCTCCGATTTCTAATTGCCAGCCATTATTCATTAAACCACTTGCACATCCAAACTTACAGCACCTGGTATTCCCAAGCAGTTGCCCATCTAGGTACTGACCAGGCTTGATATTGCTTAACTTTGGTGATCCAACAAGAACTGGTGATCCAACATGATAGGGTCATAAGCCTACCTTGTTACAAGAAGGCTAACAAAGATTTCAAAGACTGAAGAGATACAACTCTTAATTTGATAAATGAAGATGGCACCTGCAGTTCCAGTGCCACCAACATAGATTGGTTTTATTTATTTTAGACTTATTTAATTTTAATGGATTGAAACTCTGAAATCCTCATTACATCTGTCTATATCTCCGAGTTGAAGTATTATGTTTATTTACATTATTTGGACTGTTATCCTCATCATCATATTCACAATGCTTTGGCTATTGTACGCTCCAGCTTTCCTCAGGTGCTTGGAATCTTAAACTGAACCCTTTATTTCATCCACCGGAGTAGATTGTTCTAGTTCCACGTGCCATGTCTCTTCTGGAAGTCTCAGTTATTTTCCTTTAATTCAACTCTTCAAGTTTTGGTTCACCACTGTTGTAGCCTGCTATTGAACTCACAACTCTTTGGATCTAGTCATTGGATCTAACCAACGTCTTCAGGATACATGGCCTAGTGGATAAAGGGTTAGGGTTAGATTCAGTGACTAGACTCAAAGAGTTTCAAGTTCAATACCAGGCTACAACAGTGCTGAACCAAAAATACTTGGAGAGTTAAGTTAAAGGGATATAACCGAGACATTCGGAAGAGGTATGGCATGTGGAACTAGAACAATCTACCCCGGTGGATGAAATAAAAGGTTCAGTTCAAGATTCCAATCACCCGAAAAAAGCCAGAGTGTAAAATGGCAGAAACGTTGTGAATATGGCAATGAAGATGAGGTTAACGTCCGAATAATGTAAATAATCCTCATTACATGTTTATTATTGAGCAGCACTGACTGGAAATAAAACAGACTTGCATCTCCTTTACCAAACAGCTGATATGACACCATCTGGTTATATATATATATATATATATATATATATATATATATATATATATAAAAAAATCAACTATTAACAATGCTTCAAAGAAATTCAAATTATATTACAATGTAGTTTGAGGGAAACAAAGGGAAAAACAAACCTATTTGGCTTGGTGGCTGAAGTAGTTGCATGCTCTGATTTGGTATCATTTGTTAGCAATCAGAGATAAAATCCAGAATTTTGAATGCTGATTTTCAAGGTAATCTGGTGCAACAAAATCTTCCTTCCACTTTTTCAAATTGTGGTTCATACTGAGCTAAGTTTAGTAAATTTATCCACAGTGAATCCAGTCAAAAAAAATAAAAAATAAATAAACCTAAAGCAATTATTCCACAATTGACTTTAAGAATTCTATACGTCAAAGTTGGTTGTGATTCTGAGAGGTCACTCAGAGCAGTGACCAGTTTATATCTGCATATTTGGAGTTGAAAAATAAAAAGAAAGAAAAATTACCTTAAAACAAAAGCCTCAAGTTCCTTTATTTCCAAGGAAAACATGTCTAAAATATAAACATTGGTATATGTGTTTCAAAATGGAGGCAAGTAAAATGCAAGGGTATTGGGTTGCAAGGCCCTCAGCCGAACCATATAACAATGTAGAATGGCCAAAGAGGGAAGTGGGGCCGGGGAATGGATAAGAAATAGATGGAAAAAAAAAACCTAAATCTATAATCTACCTGAATGGATAAGGACTTGTGAGGTATTTGATAAAATAACTATATTTTGGATTTAGGATAACAGACTGGAAATTTAAGATTTATTGAGGAGGGTGGGGAGAAAGAGAGAGGGAGGGATAGAAATTTGTGTGAAGAATTTTATCTCTCAAATTTGACTTAGAAAAAAAAATTAAAATTATCAATGTTTGTTGCCAAAAGTAACACTTTTCTATAAAGCTCTGCATGTCTCAAAGTGTAAGAGTCAATGCCTCAATGTCCTTAAACACAAGACAATTGTACTTCATATATCATCATCAGCAAGGAGATGTGTGTGTGTGTATATATATATATATATATATATATATATATATTAAGAGAAGATCCTTTATATCAGAAAAGGAAGACAGACAAGTACTTCATTCCTATAATAGATGTCATGCAGAGAGAAGGGGTTAATTCATATATGACAAGGATCTCTTACGATGTACAGGTGTAAATAAATTAATACCAGTTTTTCTTTAAAGAAAGTTTTTATTTTTATTCTTGCTTGTGGAAAGTAAAGACATTTTTGTGTTTACAATGCAGAGTTAATAGATGGTTGGTAAGACGAGTGCACAGGCATTCCTAACTTTTTCATATTTCAATGAGAAGCATTAGGCACCATTTTCCTAAAAGGTCTAAGGAATGCTCATCACCATGAATTTCTGTGGAGAGACAGAGAGAAATAATGGAGGGGAGGGACAAAAACTGAAAAGTAGAAATTAAAGATGAACCCTATGTCCTGCCTTCACATGTGTATTGCATGTGTGTGTGTGATTGTGTGGGAGGGGGGGCATTTATTTAGCTGTATCAAGTAAATTTGGGATTTGACAGAGAATATGCATGTGTATACTGGAGTTGCTTAACAATGGCAATTTCTTTAACTTTGGCTAAAGATACACTTATTAAAATGTTTTGTGCTACAATGAAAAATGGTCTAGCATAAAGGTGGAGGGAAGGATAAAGATTTTTTTTTTTTTTAATTTTTTTAAAATTTTATGCTTACACTCAGGTCCACATTTTGGGTTTGATTAGAGATAAAAAAAAAAAAAAAAGAGAAAAAAAAAGAGGGAAGTGGTGTAGTAAGAAAACTTGCCTTGAACAATTGTGTTGTATCATAGAACAACACTTTTAACAACTGCAGTCAGAGGAGAATTAAACTTGTCCTTATTTGGATGACTGCACATGAATAGTGGGAGGAGAGATAAAAGAAAAAATTTCACATTGAAATTTTTTTTTCTTGTTTATTCAAGAGGAAACAAATTACTTTGATTGTCACTGCAAATTCTGGAAGAGACAAAGCCAGTGACAAGTTTTGCTTCCAAAAGAAAAAAGTCTCGGCCAATGTCACAAGGTTTTTTTCAGTTTTGCTTTCTTTCAAAATTTAATTATTATTATGAATAGATTTTTTTAAGCAAGTGAATGAAAATAAGGACAGGAGGGAGGGAGTTCTGTGGGAGAGGATTAAATTTAGGCAGATGGTCAGGCTTCCATGTCTAAAGTATCTAAGTCTTCTCCTAATTGCTCAAGATCTTCACCTCCAAATAAATCTTCATCAATTTGAATATCACTGGCTGTTCCATTGACTGCAGGAAGGGCAGCTGCCTCAGAAAGTTTACTTTCTTCTGAAAAAAAAAAAAAAAAAAAAAATTTCAATACTTAACAGTTTGGTTGACAATATCGACATTTAATAATGACTGTCCTGTTAAAACCATCGATTTTGCCCTTAAGCTAGAAGGAAAAAGAAAAAACGACAAGGATGAATAATCTAATACTGGGTAAAGGAATTCAATGCAATTCCAGAAGATTTTCAGTAAATTTTTAAACATGGTGTTTGAAACTATATTGAGTGGCTCAGAGATTCTTTTTAGAATTTTTCAAAAATGTTCCCATGATATTTGGAAGTGTATTTGTGATTTTGAGAACTTCAAAATATGAACTAGTTGATCAATAAGTTTGAGTAATTTTATTACCACATTATGGATGATGTCACTGAACGACCAAAGAATCATGGTCAACATCAAGAAACTGAAGTTATTTTAAAATCTGTTTAAGAACATTTTGGATAAAGTTGTTCATGTTGAGCACAAATTCAAAACATTGGGAGAGTTCAGATTTGTTGAATTGTTGCATATAAAGCTTTATGCTTAGGAAAAAAAAAATTCTAATGGAAGCAGTTTCATTTTTGGATGTGCATTTTTACATATTGCATTTGGATGGATTGAAATGTGAGCTGAAATCAGTTTCTGCTGCCGATTTTGCAACACAAACTAAGCAAATCCCACACACACACAAACTAACAAATCCCACACACACAAACTAAGCAAATCCCAACACACACAAACACAAGCAAATCCAAACACACACACACACACACACACACAACACAAGCAAATCCCAACACACACACACACACACACACAAACTAAGCAAATCCCACACACACACACACACACACACAAACTAAGCAAATCCCACACACACACACACACACACAAACTAAGCAAATCCCCACACACACACACACAAACAAACTAACAAATCCCAACACACACACACACACACAAACTAAGCAAATCCCAACACACACACACACAAACTAAGCAAATCCCAACACACACACACACAAACTAAGCAAATCCCAACACACACACACACAAACTAAGCAAATCCCAACACACACACACACACACACACACACAAATCCCAACACACACACACAAAAAACACACACACACACACACACACAAACTAAGCAAATCCCAACACACACACACACACACACACAAACTAAGCAAATCCCAAGACACACACACAAACTAAGCAAATCCTTAACATACACACGCGGAAATAAACAAATCCTTAACACACACACACACACACAAACTAAGCAAATCCTAACACACACACACACACGCGCGCAAACTAAGCAAATCCTAACATTATTTTGCCATGTCTCTGGAAAAAAAAAAAAGAAGAGTCAGATTAAAGTTAGAAATGATTTCCCAAAACACACAACACACATTATCTACACACACACACAAGAAACTCTTCATCCCAACACACACACAACAGCAACATCTTTTCTTCCCCTGACTTTCTCATCAATTTGACAAAGAAATCTAAGCATAAATTATTTTGTAAAATTAACTTGTTGATTTAGAATCTCCTTGTTGCTTATTTTATGCCATTTTATTACCAATAATTTGTATTTTAGATAAGCAAATTAATTCTTGGAACATTTTATTACATCAGAACCATTTTAAAGAATGGATGAAAAACTGCGGCAGACTGAAAACTGATTTCCTAAAAACCAATTCTTTTATTATGCAAATTTCATAAAACAACAAAAATGTATCTTTTGCAAAGGAACAAATCTTTTCAAAAAGAGATACTGAGTTTTTATCCATCAATTCTTCTAAAGAAACTTGGTACCACCAATTCCAGTATTTAAAGTTAACTTCAAAAGATTTAGAATATCACGGATTGACCAGAATATGTTTCCTGAAAAATTTTAAAAGAAAAAAAATTTGATATTTGACAAAAAATTAAATTTCTTTTTGAACATTTTATTACATCAGAACCATTTTAAAGAATGGATGAAAAATCAACGGTAGAGAGACTGAAAACTGATTTCAGAAAACCAATTCTACTAATAAGCAAATGTCATAAACAACAACAATGTATCTTTGCAAAGGGAACAAGCTTTTCAAAAAGAGATACATACCAGTTTTTATCCTACGCTCTTCTAGAGAAACTTGGGTACCACCAATTCCAGTATTTTCAGTTGCTTCAAAAGAGGTCAGATCGATATCACGGATAGGACCAGAATATGTTTCCTGGAAAAACAAGCAAAAGAAAAAAAAAATTGATATTTGACAAAAATTAAATTTCTTTTGGTCAGTGTAAAGTCAGCTAAGAAAAAAAAGGTGAGAGGGAAGGGAGAGAGAGTGGATTAATGGCCCCCTGAGACACTTTGAAAATTCAGTGTGTGTGTGAGAGAGAGAGAGAGAGCGGTAGCGAGAGGTAAAGAGAGAGAGCGAGCGGTCGGTAAAGAGAGAGAGAGAGAGAGAGCGATCAGTAAAGAGGAGTAATTCTGAAGCGAGTCAAGTAGCAAAAGAGTTGAAGCAAAAAAGAAATACATGTGAGATTATATATATATATATTGTTACAAAAGATTGCCAAGTTCTAAATAGCTTAAGCAGAAGATTCTTGAATTTAGGTTTGTTTTTCTGATTAGAAGGGTGAGAGGGATATAGAATTGATCAAAAATGTTCATGCAAGTAAGGAGCACTGAAATAATTGAGCAAATGCTGCAATTAAATGGAACAGGGGGAAAAGAAAAAAAGAAAAAAAAGAAAAGATTCACTTACGTTTGAGTACTCATCAACGTTATCATAGTCATAGTCATCATCGTCGTCATCATCATCATCGTCGTCATCATCATCATCTGAACTTTCAACAACATAACAAGTATCATCTGCACCTTCATCGTCCATGGCAACCAAGTCAGGGTTGAATTCAAACATTTCTCTTCCACTGATCTACAAAGTGAATGAATTGGGCTCTTATTTCAAAGAAAAATTTCAAAAACAGGAGAGATTTTGATGCAATTTAGAAATGGATAAGATCAGCAGGTTAATCTCCAAATAACCATCAACTTATTAGCCATCACTTGTGGTTATCCTTTTAAAAAACAAACATTCTACCTTGTGTGCCTGTGTGCAAAAAGGATAGATTGAAAGAGTAAATTTAAACCAGAATCTGGTGGACCATGTGATCAAGATTTATTTCTAATAAAAAGATTCTCATTTCAGTTTTTAGTCGACTAAAAACTGAAATGAAGACTTTAGAGTATAAAAGATATTTGTTAGAAGTTTTACAATTATACACTCTTCTGGTTTTTAATGAATACTAAGTGCACACACATGTATGTATGTGTGTATGTATGGTGGTTAAACATGAATTCTAAACAAAGAAGGTTAAACTCAAAATGAAATATAAACTGGAAGATAGTGAGATAGAAAGAGAGAATAGAAAATGTTTTTCCTGGTAATGTGGAAGTGAAGAAAGGGCTATATGGGTTGCCTCACCCATATGAATTGGAATGATGCACCAAGAGTTTACTTGTTTTATCTATCGAAAATCTGGCATGTGAGTAAAGCAAATTGGGAAATGGCTTTATCTCTTTCTTGGGAAATTAGAAAAACACGTGTCATTGGTGAAAAGAGAAGCAGACAGGAATTATATTTTTGTTAGCAAAAACAAATTTAGAAATGAAAGCAGAGAATGAACCTGCTGCAAAGGGCAGCATTATGAAAATTGATCAGTCATAACAGGTAGGTGATCTGGTTTATGTTTTCACTAAGACGGTGACAAGTCCAAGGATGGAAAACAGTGTGTCCCTTCGTTGAGAATTTAGGTAAACAATTATATTTTCATTGATAAAAACAAATTGGGAAATAATCTTTATCTATTACTTGGAAGGTTAAAATGAGAAGGTGATCTAGTTTGTGTTTTTCGTTGGACAAGGGGTTCCAGGAAAGGAGTCGGAGAATTGAAATTAATGAGGAGAATAAGCCAAACCCTTTCTCTTACAATTTTAAAAATTAGATTTGTCACAAAAACAGTTATAAAATAAACTGCACCACACACACATATATATATATATATATATATATATATTATATATATTATATTTGTAAGTGTCCTTACATCTCCTGGTAGTTGTATTTTCTTTTATCTCAAGATGGTTAGGTCAGAAATAATTGTAAATGAAAAGAGAATCTTATGATCAGTTATCTTATTATCCAATCATTAAACTGATTATGCCCCCCCACAAGAAACATGTACCAACCTATAGTTTTGCATTACCATTAATTAACTATTTTAAAATCAGACTACTCCCTGATTATTTACACTCCTACATCTTGTCCTGTCGACCACAACCAGATTATAACCCCACCTAGTCCTGACCTGCAGACCACACCCAGATTATTTATCCTCAATCTTAACCTGCATTAATTTTAAATGCTCTTGTTTAGGTACAATGCCTTTAACTGATTTTTAAAATTGTGCACTCAGTGAATATTTAATAAAATAGACAAGCGTTGAAACAATGGCATGTCTGTATAAAGAAATCACTGTACGTATATCTGCTTAAATTATAAAAACGCACACCTTGTAAACATATTGGTCATTTTCACAAGGTGAAGCATTCTTTTGAGATTCTCAAAGTAATAGAATGGTTGGTTTCAATCTTTGCAAGATTTCTTTTCAACTTAAAAATATTTGCATTTATTTCTAAATGTTTTTGTTAGAATTGTACTTTTCAAACAAGATAACAATTAATAGTCAGGAACAATTCAAATATTTTGGTGAAGACAGAGCCAAAATAGAAATAATTTCAAGAGCAGCACAAATGATACCATTTGTTTCAAAACTAAGGAACCATGTGGAAAGACAAGAACATCTGCCTGAAATCAAGGAACAGACTTGTGTGCATTCAGCATCTCAATCTTTCTTGACACCCACAAGTTTTGGACATTAACAGCAGAATTACAGCAAAGAATCCAAGCATTATGAGAGGTGACAGAACCATCCGAGGTTTTGCATCACAAATGACGCTGCGAGACATCATCAGGCAAGAAACAGACTCTTTAGAAAATGTTATAACTATTGCCAATAAGAGAAAGTTGAAATGGCATGGGCACATTCTAAGCACCAACAATTGTTCCATTGCCATCCTACAAGATACACCTTAAGGCCAAAAGAAGAGGCAGACAGAGGTGAAAAAATAAGCTGACAATGTCACTCAGTGGGACTGCAAGATCCTTTGTATAGACATGCAACAGGTTCAGATGTCCAGCAACCCTTTGATCACCTGTCATGAGACTGAGGATATGTAATTTTTGTATTTATTTTACACAGAAAATATTTACTTAAAAAAAAAAAAAAAATCATGTTACAATAGCTTTCATTTGAAAGTGTGTGTTTTCATCATCCATGTTTCCACTTTTATTTAAGGTTGTTCGGATACCAATATAAAGGCATTAAGTCTTTGTTTGGAAAGAAGACCCTAAAAGAGAGAAATCTTAGCTTAGAACCTGAAAAAATGCTTACCCCAACAATTCGGCCAGCTTTGTACTCAGCTTTTTTCTTCTCAGTAGAAAGAGTTAAAGCTGCAATCTTTTCTTTTTTCTGTAAGGTGATAAAAGAAAAAAGAAAAGTACATCAGTTGTTGCCTTTGTTTTCACTTTTTGTCTATAGACTTCAATAAATAAATACAAAACAAATAAAAAATATATTCACCTTTCGTTCTTTCCATTCCAAAAATGTCTGCAACGTGATTTTCGTTCCAGAATTTGATAGAGCAGCTCTCTGGTGATAGAAAAAAAAAATAAAATAAAATTAGAAACAATTTTCTTGACCCTTTAAAAATGTGAAATCTCTGATAGAAACTCAATTCTAAAATCTAAGGAAGACAATAATTAATTCCATTAAAAAAAAAAAAAAAAAAAAAAAAAAACCCTATTTTCATATTTTCAGTTCTAGCAACAAGAAACAGATTTCCATATTTTGTTTTGAAATAAAAAAAAAATAAAAAAATAAAATTCACCTCTTTTTCAATTAATTCTTCCAAAGAAATTTCTTCTTTCTTTTCTAAAATTTTCTGATCCTTCTTTAGTACAAAACCTGAAAAGTTTGAAGAAAAAGAAAAAGTGCATTATTTACTTTTAAAAACTTCCTCAAAGAAGTTTACAGATTGTAAAGATTCTCAGTGTTTAGAAGAGAGGAATTTATTTTGTTCAAGACTGAAATTTTTATAACTCTCATAATATTTCAAGGTACATTTATTAGGGTTTACATTTACCCAAGAAACAGTTTATCTAAAACATTTTATTTGAAGAGGGGGAAAATCAAAACCCCAAAACAATCAGAAACTATTGAGCCAACACCTAAAGTCTGAAAGAGGGGGGGGGGGTAGAGGGTTTAGACCTGGGGAAGGAAAGAAGTTCCTTTCTGTTATCACTGGTAATTAAATATTTATGTTGTTCAAGAAAACTAAATATTTACATTTTAAATGGAAAAGTTTTAAAGAAACTATTTTTTTTTTTGTATGTGAACTTTTTAAAGCATAGTAAATAGCTTAAAAAATATTAGGCTATTGGCAACTCTGTAAGCATTTTAAATAAGAATATGTCCTCAATTGCAGCTCTCTTCAATCCATTTAAGAGACATTGGTCATAAGTTCTCTAATTTTACTGGAGTCATCAGCAGTATTTTTGCTTGATTTTCCATCTTGACCTGAGTCTCTATTGGCTGTCCCGCTAGAACAGAGTGGGTGCAAATCCCCAGAACATCTGGTTATGGAGAAAGAAAGTGTCTACCAGCTTCTCCATGAGATAGTTGCAACAGTGAGCTTAGCTGAAATCACCGAAAGAGAAGGCCAGTTCTGTGGAAGCAGGGAAACATGATGTCACTATCACGAATCCCTACTTGATTTTCAGAAGAATGGTGGTTGTTAGTCACCAAACAAGTGTTTTAAATTATTTATCCGTTTTTTTTTTTTTAAATTTTAAATTTAAAAAAAAAAAAAAACAAAAAATTATAAATTATAAATGTGTTGATCTTTAGTGCAAAGGAAATTACAAAAATGGACCAAAGGTTCATGAGTTCTTTTCTGAAAGATAAAACATTAATATTTGGACACATTCAATCAAAAGAATGCATTTTACACTTAATAAGCTTACCAGGGCAAGTATTTTTTTTTTTGTATTAAAAGAGCAAGTAAATTTAAATGAAACTTATTTAATTTTTTTTAGTTGTAATGCACAATATATTAAGACAATGTTATGATAGATCTAGTGAAATTTTTAAAAGCTAAAAAACATTTTTCCTAAATAAACTTTGTCAATATAAATTCATAAAGGAAGATTTTTATTGACAAAAAAAAAATTCTAATAATTCTGACAATTTTTTAGAATTGTATTCTTAAAAAAGTTTTATTTTAATTTAAAAAAATTTATAAATGTTAAAAGTTCTGTTTATTTTTCTATAGCTTCATTTTATTCATTTTAAGAATGCAGCAAATATTCTTATTATTGAATTAATATATTATATTCTTTCAAAATGTCATAAAATTTCATTAATGTAGATTTTGCTTACTATCTTAGATTTTTTTTTTTTTTTTTTACATGAATTTAAAATAGGTTTGGTTTTAAAAATCTTTTTAGGTAAGTGAACTACATTTTCAATTTGAAGACATCAAGGAGAGAATTGTCAACCTTTGAAAAAAAAAAAAAAAAAAAAAAAAACAAAAACAGGAGCTATAATTGCAGTTAAGCTTCAGAAAACATCATGATGGTGCTTTCCCTTGAATTCTACCAAACTGTCCTTAATATTTATCTTCATTGACTACCTCTAGAGAGTCACCAGAATCTGACTGGGGAATTCTGCCCTTAAAAGTGCTTTAAATCAAAGTATTAATGATGACTTAGCATACAAACAGCAGAATAAATTCCAGAATATTAATGATCTAGAAGGGAAATTAAATTTTCTTGACAGAAATTACTGGAGTGTTGTTAGACAGCAAGAGACACTTATGCGGCATCATAAAATCTCCATATCCAAAAATCAATTAGATTTTGTAGTACATGTATTTTGTAGAGATGTGGAAATGAATACAATAGAGAACTATAAGATTCCTAAACATGTAAGAGATCGAAATACTCTTGAAATTCTGATGGAAAACATGAAGAAAATGGACACAGAACAACAGCAAACAAAACCTCAAAATGTGATTTCTATATTAAATTGGTAACATCATTTCTACTATTGGTGCAAGAAGAATCAAACAAATATTTTAATTCAATCAAATTTATATATCAACAGCTAAACTTAATGCCACAGAATAAGTATGATCATTCAACAGAAATGATATTTTCTCCATTGTTGTGTAACTTCTCCCCTAAAGGGTACAGGTTGTTAAGAGAAAGTATAAATATAATTTTACTTGGCTATTGAACCATTAGAGACTAACCTTAACATATTTGGATCCTTTGAGCAACATAACTTTATGTATATTGAAAATAAATTTAAGTTATTAGTACAGAAATTCACTTGTTGATGAAATTCACCTAAAACCTTAAATTATTATAATGGTGATAATATTGTTGGCTTATCTGACAAAAGCAATGAAGCTGCAACAAGTGCTTTTGCTTTTATGCATACCAGTGTATTCTCACAATAACAAAATATCTTCAAGCTGAGAATTTATTTAACATGGTTAAATGTATAATAATTGGTTTAGAGCAGATAGCTTTTTTACTTTTTAGCATTATTATCTGTTATGATTGATAATACTACTTTTGTAGCCCATCAAACCTTTCAATTGTATATCCATACCCGTTATGAAGTTTAGACCTCTTTTCTTCCTATCTGACTCACTCCATATATTAAAATGCATTGGAAACAATTGACTTGGTAAAAAACATGCAAGTAAATGCATGCTGTTCCCAAAATTTTGTTATAATATACAGTGTAACCCGGATATAAGAGAGATTTTCTCTGGTCCCAAATTAGAGCCCGTGTTAATGTATATAAAATAGACCAAACCCGGATATAAGAGACTTCTTCTCCGGTTCTGACAACTCTCTTATATCCGGGTTACACTGTATATCAAGAAGTAGTAGTATCCAATGTGCCCCATCTTGTACCTTACAGAAACCTCATGCCCAGGAATCTCAGTCAATTTTGAAATATTGTTATAAATTAACCTCAAAAGCACTTTCTCCTACTAATCTTGACAGGTAAAATGTTAATTTAGTTCTACACATTTTTAATGAGTACACTATTCACGGATTGTTGTTCTCAGGAAAACTGAAAAGTTTGCCTAATTTTGCTGAAGTTGCAGAATACATATGCATTTTATACTTTGTGGACAATACTGAATGTCAAAAGACCATATAAAGCTTATTGGCTTAGAAATAAATATTGTAATTCACTTAGAGCAAATGAAGAAAATTTTAGATTTCTCTCTGTATTCCGTGACTGGTTAGAATTTTGGAATAGCATTTCTGGAAGAAATGGCAAATTAATAAAGGAAACTTTCATGGCTTTGCATCATACAACCTATGCATTTCTAGAACTGACCTAGTATTGCACAGAAGAATTGAAAATGCCATATATATTACCTGGCAAATTTCCAACTGATAACTTCGAGGTAAGGTTTCGTCAGTACCAGAGACTTAGTGGGGATCAGTATAATATCTCGATATGGCAAATGTTTGAGTGTGAAAAAAATCAGAATGCTATCAGTTTTAAAATTGAGTTTACCACTTAATCAACAATATATTAAAATTGATTTGAAGAATTTACAAGAACCAAACTGGGATGAAGTGACAGAATATCAAAAGTTAGATATGCATAAATTTAGAATTGATGTTAAAGAGGAGGATGTTAATAAATGCAGAGAAGTTCTTCCTGTTATACTATACTTAGCAGGTTATTGCTGTTATGCAGGTTAAGAAAATTAAATGCAATAGTTGCAAAAATTTAGTATCTGAAAGGGATAATGTGGAAGAAATACCAGAAATAAACAGCTATTTTCAGGGGATTAACAGAGGTTCTCTTTTATATCCTAATGATACAAACTACAAATTTTGTTCTATGTAATTATGTAGTCATTGGTAAACTGATAAAAAATTCTTTTCTTCATTCAGTAAATCAAAGGAAATTAGACATGCACATAACATTGAATGTTTTGGCAAATTACAAGCTCCTTTTTAATTTTGACACTTTTAATGAGGATCAAAGCATAGAAAAAATAGAAAGAATATTTATCTGGAATTCTTCACATTGTATATTGTCTTCAGTTAGAAATGAATGAAGATAAACAAGCGAACCTGTACTTTTGGTTGATCTAAAAAGACAGCAGAATGTGTGTGTGTGTGTGTTCATATCAATCAAAAAAAATCAAACAGGTGGGTGGTTGGTGGATTTAGAAAATAAAAAAAAAGAGAAGGGTAGAACTAGAGATCAACAGCTAAATGGTATTGCAGAGTTGCAAAGAAAAGGTTGAAAAGGTGGGCGGGGAGGAGGAACAGAATTAGTAATGAAGAAATAGGGAAGATTTGAAAAGCCATCCAAATCAGCAAGATTTCTTTTTTGATGAAGACAGGAATGAAAAGCAATTCACTGTCTGCAGTATTTGTCTAAGTGTGTTAAGAGTGATTGGCTCTTAAAGTACATTTTATAAACTTGCCTCATGCAACATGACCCAATGCAAAGAGAAGAGGAAAAAAAAGGGAAAACAAACTGACAAAGGAAGGAAAAGATGTTTGTACTGACCTGCAGGTAGACAATGCCGATAAATACACTTGTCATTCCCATTTGGGCATTCCCAGAACCAACCATATTTATTGTTCTCCACAGCATCCAGGAAATATTTGCAAATCTACAGAGGAAGTGAATCAATCTTATTAAAGCATAAGATACAAAACGAGTTCTTTGTGCAAGACAAGTGTCAATAAAGTCAACATGATGAATATGGTTAAGACAAATTAAGACATCAATTTGCCTGCTTTTGGAATATGGCTGGAACCAAGAATGTTGGATATCATTTTGATTACTTTTAATCTACAAGAATGAGAAAAGAGGAATACACAAATGTGGCTATATTGCAAACCACTTGCACCATGGCTATCAAACATGAATGCTAGATCACCTGTATGAGCTTGATAGCCAGTGTAAAAGTACATTGGCTTTGTGGGGAGCAGCATCAGTGTGTGTGTGTGTGTGGTGGTGGTGGGGGTTATGTGAGTATTGAAAGTGGGGTAGGGTAAATGGCAAGTGTTTAAAAAGGACACCAAATATGACAGTAAGCAAAAAAGCGAACAGAAAATTCTCAAAAAATTTAATTGGAGGTGACTTAAACACTTCATCAAAAATGTTCAAACAATAAAAATGAGGGCAATTTCCTGCAAAAGGAATTTGCCCATTTTGCTTTGAAAGCAAATTTACCCCATCAGACAAGAGAATGGTTCACAGACAATGAAATCCATTCAGGTTGACGTATGTGCTGCTTTCAACCTCTGAAATGACTAAGAATAATACCCATTGGGGTTCATTAACTTAGTTCTATCCCAGACCTGTATATTCTTTCCCCAGGCCAAGCATGACGTTAGGGTAAAAGCTGAAAAATAATGAACAAATGACAAGTGTTGCATACTGTTATAAAAAAGTAGACTTTAAAAAAAAAACAAAAAAAAACATACAATGGAGGTTTTTGGTTTTGCTTTGTTGCTCTCTCCATGTTTTTTATCTACAACTTCTTCCAGTTTCTCTTGATCCCAATCGTTCATGGTTTCTGAAACAGAAAACAACATTCAATTGGTGAGTTCAATTGGACATTTGTTGTCAAAAATCAAACAATCAGTAGAAATTAATTATGGCATAAAAATTTTTTTTTTTTTTTTTTTTGAATTCAGTTTCTGATTTATTCAATTATTTTGATCATTTCATTTTTTCCTACCCTGAAGTTAAAGGTGGTGGTGGTGGCCTCATCATTGGGGAGTAATGGTTAGTGGGACTAGTTTTCTTGACCAGTACTGCATTAGTAGTGAGTTCAAATCCTCACTGGGTCACCCATGCAAAACTCAACATTTAATAAACTAACAAAGGGTTGACATGTTTTAAAATCAAACAGCCAATCTGTAGAGCATAAAATAATTGAAGATGAAAGCTAATGAGAATTTTATTTCAGCAGAACCATTTTATACACAATCAAATAAAATCAGCTTTATAATAGCATTTTTGGCTGATAGAGCCTAAAACTAAGTTTTTTCAATTCTACACATCTTGTGGTTATCCTGCTTACAGTCAAAGCTCTTGTGCATTTCCCACCTGCCTTACTTTTATGTATTATGTCTATTCAAGACATGGGCTTCATGGCTCTTTACAACTTCCTGTCTTTTCTTTTGTCACTTTTACAAAAGTGGGTTTTTTTTATTACTATTTCTGCAACTCCTTATTCTGCCATCCATTTACACAAATTTGAGGTATGTTACTATTTCCCTCTGCCCCTCTTACCTTCAATACATCTTGTGAGTGCCAAATTCTCCAAACCCTCTTTTCTTATGTAACCCATAAACCTGCCTCTTTCCGAGTTCATATTCACTCTGTTTTTTTTCAAGGCAGGTAAGCAGATTAATTTAATCTTCATTTTTTAAATAGCCATAATTCTCATTTAAATAGATGTTTGTAAAATTTTGTTCCAGATTATGACATCCACACGTACTTAGACCTGTGCAAACAAATCTTAAGAGGCTCTAAAAGCAAAGCCAAAAAAAAATATTCAGCTTACCATCTTCACGTGTGTCTTCATAAATATTTTTCTTGGCACCTTTTCTTTCAACTGCTAAGTCATGAGAAAATTTACATTTGTCTCCTTTCGAACACAGACCTTGCTTGAAGAACACACATAAAACTGATTTGGGATCAGCCCCTAAAAAAAGAGAAAAAGAACAAGAAAAATTGTTTTGTGAGAATGACATTTATGAAAACAGTCAGTTTACTAGTTTCTTCATAAATGTAATTGGATCATTTGGAGTAAAGTCTTTCAATACCATTGTAGTAAAGAGAACCAGTGTTGGGGATTTGTGAGATTTAAATTGCATTTTTAAATTTTTTTTCATATAACGAAAACAAAAGAAAGAGCAAAGCTGATACAAATAGATTGAGACAGTAGGATAATTTCAGGTTGGCAAATTAACAATTTTGGTTCCTATTTTGCTGATTTTCCCCAATTTACTTACATTATTTATATTATTTGAACTGTTATCCTCATCTTCATTGCCACATTCACAAAGTTTTGGCTATTGTACACTCTGGCCTTCTTCGAGTGATTGTTCTAGTTCCATGTGCCATGCCTCTTCCGGTCAAAACGTTGTGAATATGGCAATGAAGATAACAGTCCAAATAATGTAAATAATGTTAAGTTCCCCAATTTAGTTGCTAAAAATCTATATTTTATTTTTATCATTTAAGATATTGGGTTCATCTACATTCAACTTACAGTCTTGCCCCCCCCCCCAGATAACATCATACAATTATTTCATTTTTACAGCATTTTAAAATAACACATTACATGGTGATCATCAGCTATGTATGCTTGATTTGTACATAAATAATCTTGTAAATTTTTTTATTTTTGAAAAGTAGTTTACTAGCAACACTGCCGGCCAGTGTTATTTTTTAAAACTTAAATCTGGGTTTTTCAATTCCTGTCCGTGTTGTTTTTTTAACTTTGAAATTTCAGCGTATTTTGAGCAGAGATATACTTTTTGCGATTAAGCAACTCCTGTCGTTGGAGTTTTCTCGTCCTCTGGACTGGTATATTCCAAATTGAGAAACTGTCTTGGTACAGATAAAGCAGAAAAACTGGTCTTTCTATTTAAAGACATGAATGCAAACACTGCTCATGCTGAATTTTAAAATTTGCTAGAATGATTAAAATTTTATTTTATTGTAAAAAAAAGAAAAAAAAAAAAAAAAGAAAAAAAGTTGAATAATAAATATCTGGCCCAATATGATCAGCTCTTCTCTCAAGAAATAACATGAAAACAAAAAAAAATGTTTTATTTCTAAATCTTGATTTAAATAAAAATTGATTTTAAAATTGATTTAAATAAAATTGATTTAAATAAAAAAATAAAATTGATTTAATAAAAATTGATTTAAATAAAAATTGATTTAAATAAAAATTTTGATTTTAAAAAATTTAAAAAAAATTGATTTAAATAAAAATTGATTTAAATAAAAAATTGATTTAAAATTGATTTAAAATTGATTTAAATAAAAAAAAATTGATTTAAATAAAAATTGATTTAAAAAAAAATTTAAATAAAATTGATTTAAATAAAAATTGATTTAAATAAAAATTGATTTAAATAAAAATTGATTTAAATAAAAATTGATTTAAATAAAAATTGATTTAAATAAAAATTGATTTAAATAAAAATTGATTTAAATAAAAATTGATTTAAATAAAATTGATTTTAAATAAAAAATTGATTTAAATAAAATTGATTTAAATAAAAAATAAAAAATTGATTTAAATAAAAATTGATTTAAATAAAATTGATTTAAATAAAAAAATTAAATTTAAATAAAAAAAATTGATTTAAATAAAAATTGATTTAAAAATAAAAATTTAAAAAAATTGATTTAAATTTATTTTAAATAAAAATTGATTTAAATAAAAAAATTGATTTAAATAAAAATTGATTTTAAAAAATTGATTTAAAAAAATTGATTTAAATAAAAAATTTAAAAAAATTGATTTAAATAAAAAAATTGATTTAAATAAAATTGATTTAAATAAAATTGATTTAAATAAAAATTGATTTGATTTGAAATAAAAATTGATTTAAATAAAAAATTTAAATAAAATTGATTTAAATAAAAAATTGATTTAAATAAAATTGATTTAAATAAAAATTGATTTAAATAAAATTGATTTTAAATAAAATTGATTTAAAAAAATTGATTTAAATAAAAATTGATTTAAATAAAATTGATTTAAATAAAAAATTGATTTAAATAAAAATTGATTTAAATAAAAATTGATTTAAATAAAAATTGATTTTAAAAATTTAAATAAAATTGATTTAAATAAAATTGATTTAAATAAAAATTGATTTAAATAAAAATTGATTTAAATAAAAATTGATTTTAAACAGATTTAAATAAAAATTTTTAAATAAAAAAAATAAAATTGATTTAAATAAAAAATTGATTTTTTATTTCAGTGATTTTTTAAAAAAATCTTCAAAGTTTTTATTTCTGTTTATCACTGACATTTCCTCCACTTTATTGTCATTTAATGTCCCCTCCCGCCAATGTTCCATTCTCTTTAAAAATGGGAGCTGATAACCAAATTTTAACCGTGCAAAACTGGACTCCATTCAAGTTAGAGTAGAACTGATACAAGAATTAATATCCCTAAAAGCCTCAATGACAAAACGATGTCAATATAAATGAACATTATGATTACAGTAAAGGTTTTGCAGAGTTGATAAGCAAAACAGGATAGTCAAAGGTTTAGTCACCATAGACAAAAAGGGGCATTTGTAGGGCTGGAATGGTAAAATCATCATCAGCATTTACAATGAGCAATATCCACAGACTGGCTGAGTAGACAGTTTTAAGTAGAAAGAGTGAGGCATCAACTAGTAAAGATCTCCATTTGTTTTGCTACAAAATAAAGATAAAACATCAATGACCAACAGTTCAGCCTTTTTAGAAATGTGTAAAGAATACATTTGACAAAAGAAAGAATATTAACCTTTCAAAGCTGGCTGGACAGGTTTGAATAATAAATTCAATTCTTCTATTTGACTTCTCTTTTCAGTTTTCTTCTTGTTCTTTTCAGCTTCTAATTCTGACAGCTGGAAAAAAAAAAAAAAAAATTTATATGATCTTCAAAACTTCATAAGCATAATTTCTTAAAATCAGATGAATTATTAATAGAAAAGATCAGTCTATATTCCCGAGATAAGGTACTGTAATTATTTACATTGTTCAGATTTTTGTCCTTGTCTTTGTCATATGATGTTTTGGTAGCTGTGTGCTCTGGCCTTCTTCAGGTGATTAGATGGTGACTTTCTGTACACAAACACACTTCAGAATGGAATCAGACATATTGACAAGATGAAGGCTCAGTAATGGGTTTGCCATTATCACCAATAATGGCAAACATTGACATGGAATATTTTGACAAAATGGCATTAGATCACTAAAGCAAACCCAATGGCTTAGATATGTAGATGACACTTTCATATTCTGGCCACACAAGGAAGAGGTCCAGCTACTACTAGACCATGTGAACTCAATAAGATCATCAATACAATTTACAATGGAGAGAGAAAATGACAACAAACTCGCCTTCCTGGATGTACTAATATCTTGAACAGGGTATGGCAAGCCAACATTCACTGGACAATATCTCAACTTCAACTCCCACCACAGTGTAAAGAAAGGGATTGTTTGCTGCTTACAACATTGAGCAAAAGTCATAAGTGGTGACCCAGAGGCATATGAACAAGAAATAGTCTGCATAATAATATGATGCATATAATATAATGGTAATAACTACCAGGGTACATGGCAGCAGATCCGATAAACCAGGATAGAAGGGAACAAAAGGATAACAACTCAGAAAACGGCTTCCGTCTACCTACCCTATGTGAAGGGATTATTAGAGAAAATACAAAAGATCTGTGGTCCATATATCAGGAAGACCTTCAAAAGTGGTTTGGCACTTTGCAGACATCTGTTCTGAGTAACCCCACCCCCCTAGAAGGGAACATAACTAAGGACTGTGTGTACACCATCTTGTGCATCTGTGTTAAGAAATATAAAGGAGGAACAGGTCACCTCCTTAAGATGAGGCTGCAAGAACATTGTAAAGCCGTAACACAAGGGAAATAGAAAAATCAGGTGTAGCTGACCACATATGGAGGAAAAAAAAATGGAGATCCCTACCCACTGTGGGATGAGGTTGAAATAATAGACAGAGAACATCACCAGAAAATATGAAAACTTAAGGAATCAGCACATATGCTAGGCCACAGAAATCTAAGCCAGCCAAGCATAGAAATGAATACAATATGAGAATCAGTAATATGGAGTGCTATGGAAAAGAAATAATAACAAAACTAATATGAGCTCTGGTAAAAAGAAAAAAAAATGTAACTGAGGCATTAGGTTTTTAAATCCCAAAAATTTCTCATGGCCCTGAGTTGGTTGGTTCCAGTTACTTGATACAAAGAGTTGGGAGTTCAATACCAGCAGTGGTGAATAAAAACTTGGAGAGTCGAGTTAAAGGGAGATAACTAAGACATCCAGAAGAGGCATTGCACATGGAACTAGAACAATCTACCCAGGTGGACGAAATAAAGGGTTCAGTTCAAAATTCCAATCACCTGAAGTAGGCCGGAGCATACAACAACCGAAATGTGAATATGACAATAAAAACGAAAGTAACAGTCTAAACAATGTAAATAAAGATCAATCAGCTAGGCTATGTATATATTGAGTTGTAGTGCTTTTCAATTAAGTGTAGTTTGAATACAGTTTCTTTTGACACATATCTGAAATTTATGACATGTACATATAATGAAAAGTCACATGTCTTTCTATATAATACTTGTGTAGATTGTGAATTTTAAATATTTTTTTATTCTAGAAGTGAAAATGGAGGAAAACAACATTGTACAAACAGCAAAAAAAAAAAAAGAAAAAAAAAAAAATGTTGTCTATGGAGAGGATGCCATAGCTGAGAGTAGAGAATTCAGAATTGGAAATTTTGATCTGGAAGGCAAGAACAGTTTGGTAGACCTGCAGCCATTGATCATAACCAAATTGAATTTGTTAGAAAAAAAATAATTCAAGTACTTTCATTAAAAATACTTTGAATTAATGCAGTTACTGATATATCAGATGTAGTCAATCACAGTTAGCCAAGGACATGAAGGGGTAAAACAGGCAACATGAAGCACTTCAGACCACAATTATTTTTGAGTTTTTGAAATTCAAATGAACAGAACACTTAATGGAATAGATTCTTCCAACACACATTATATCATGAAAGTGCATGCATGTAGAAACTCCAACCAACTATATTAATTACTATTCCATGTTTAAGTGTGACATTTTCCCCCAACACATTGTATGTTCTTGGAAGATCTTAGTGCCTTTATGAATTGTATGCCTCCATTTATTTTGATCACAAGCAAAGAAAATAAATGTCAAAGTGTCATGTATAAAATATAGTTTTGGTGTCATTTTTCTCTCCCCACATGGGACAGTTTGAAAATTATAGATTTTTTGTCCAAATTATCTATTCTTCAGAATAATATTAAAAAAACAAAATTGATTTTCCCATTGCATAAAAAAGTGAGTTAATAGTGAAGAAATCAAAAGAACAATTTAACTTTTTTCAACCCAAACACAAACTTCCAGAGACCCCCCCCCCTAAAAAAAAAAAAAACTTTATTTGAATCTTGAATTTCTTTGATCAACAGATTTAGTAAGTGTCAAAAGTTTGACAAATCAACTTTTATAACTGTAACAATATACATAGAAAATATGTAACTGTACTTTTGTCACTTCATATGAAGTTCTATATTGGATAAATTATTTCTCCTGGCATATTTACAGAATTTAAGCCCAGTTTTTTATACATCTGTCAAGGCCAACATTAAAGAGTTCTCATTGTCAATAGCTTGCATGCAGGGTGGACACAGTGGAAGGAGAGCATGTCATATTTGGATATGAAAGATGAAAATTGACAAAGAATTACACTGACCTTCTTGGCACTTTGGTTTCCACATTTCACTTGCTGAGTGACTGCTTTAATATATTTTTGCTGCTTAGCTCCTTTTTTATTTTTCAAGCCAAAAGTTTTATCCTGTGGGGAAAAAAAAAGTCATTAGGGTGGAATATATATAAAATGAAATAGTAAAGATGAATTTTCACACCCTTCATAACTATGCATCAATATCTAATTATTAACATGAAAATCTCATTCTTGTCTTGTGCTCTTCTTCGAGAGGAACATGAAATAATTTCACTGTTATTTACTTGGGGTGAGTTTCATTCAAAATATTAAAACACAAATCACTATAAAAACATGAAATTCTATTTAAAAAAAAAAAAAAAAAGACATTTTTATGATCATATACATACATCAATAGTGACATTCTTAAACCGATAAATTTATTTGAAAAATTTAATGGGAGAATTATTTAGATTGATCCAAGGAGAAACATGCGATTCAAGTCATGATTAAGTTTTTGGTTGGTAAGATATCTTAATATGTTTGATAGACACATATCTGATAATAGGCATTACCTGCAGCAAACTAGAAATTTTGTAAGGTTTGCATTTCATATAGCAATATAAACTTAGCCCAACAACTTTTTAAAGCTATATTTGGTGTTAATATTTCTATTCAAAGTCAGTCTTAATAATATCTGGATATTTTTAATTATATCTATTAATAAACAGTAATGGCTATACAAAAAAAAAAAAAAAAATTAAAATATACAAAGTTGTCCCCCTTGAGTTATCAGCTGTTTAAATAAGATAAGGTTTTTGAACTTCGGTAAATTTGAATTCAGATACTCACTCGGAAACCTAACGAGAGTCCTAATATCGTGTAGTCAATCCTTCAGTAGATGGAATGAAACATTTTAAAAAAAAAAATAAAAAAAAAAACTATATGAGAAAGCTGTAAGAGTGTTAAAAAAAATACCTTCTTTTGGAATGAAAACTGTGTCAACAAGATTCAGTACATGCGATAAAATTCACTTGAAGAAAAGAAAACTATAATCAAATTCACCTTTCATTTTTATTCACTGAAATATTAACCCCCCCCCTCACTTAAAAATAATAAAAAAAAGGTAGCAGTGGCCACTAGCATTCAGCAAATATCAAATCAGACAATTCAGAAATTGTTATTTAAAAGGAAAAAAACTAAAATCGCTATTTTTAGACAATTTACAACTGAATTGTCATATTGAAGTTTTACATTTCTATACTGTATAGAAATGTAAACATTCTGATTTCATTGTTTCAGACGCAAGTGAGAGAACACTGTCTATCTCTATAGCAGTGGTTCCCAATTGATTTTAGGCCATACCCCACTTTGGTATTTCTAAAATTCTTGTGCCCCCCCCTTATACCGATTACACATGTACGTACATACACACAAAATATTTTTATGTAGGCATACTAACACTAGAAAACAATTCACTATCAATATAACTCATTCTCGAATTGCCCCCTTATTCTGTTGGTATAGTAATCCGAAGGGTGCACATCCTACGCATGCCCCACCAAAATAGTACCATGTGCCCAACCGGTGAGAATTATTAGTATAAAAATCTGTGATTATTAAGTGGTCATAAAAACGTGATAGTATTCTTTCACAAAAGAAACATCTAAAAGAAAGTGAGAGAGACAAGACGACAAGTAAACTAAAAACTAAAAAGAGACATACAAACAATGAAAGTATTCATTAAAAAAGAACATTTTTAAAGACAGATTTGAATGATTGCACATCAACCTGGCTGCCATCTTTGTTGACTTCTCTTTCAAATCAATTCTTGAAATCATTAAATACATTTAATAACTGATGCACTATTAGTTTGATTGCATTTACGATCAAATCCACCCGAAGAATAACAATAGAAGTAAACAGGAGTTGTCTAACGTTGTCTCAAACTCAAATGAATTGATGTCACAATCAACAATTCTTATGGTCAGAAATTAAAAAATGAAACATTAAGAATAGTTTTTTTTTTATATAATTTTATATTTTAACTTTATTAAATGATTCTCTTGTTTGTATAAATTTGCTTATTAGCTTTCCCTTCTTTCAGGATTGTATTTTGTAAGACCTTTATTCTCGTGAATGTTTGCTCAAAATGAACTTTGAACATCAATGTCCAGGTTAATGTCCTTTGTTTATTTTGGTTTAAACTCAAATATACATAAACATTGAAACTTACATTATTTTAATCTTTAAAGAAATAATAATAATAAATGTTTGGGTGTCTGAAAACATTGATATATTTGGATTTTATTAGCATTTGCATGAACTATTTTGTTTTCTTATACAATGATCATGTAATGCCAAACAGGTGGTAAACAATTCTTTACTCATTAATAAACAAACATGTAAATTAGTTTTACTGCAGTTTTCATTACATAATGTGCACCCCCCTTCCCCAGCTTCAAACATAACCCTCTTTATAGCATGACAAGTATGATTCATGACAGGCCAATAGGTTGAGGTAACAGTAACACGTACCCAGACATCCTTGTTTGACAGAATAGCACAAAACTTCTCAATGGGAGTAAAAATGGTAATTTAAATTAATGGTAAAAGTAAAACCAAATTATGTATTAGAATTCTGGGCTATTATAATCACTTGACAAGAAACAGAAGTATGTCTTGCTTAAAAAAAAAAGAAAAAAAAAAAGCATTTAAAAAAACTACATTGTTTTTTGTCATTCTGTCACCGGTGAAACCAACTACAGAGGACATATTTCTTTCTCTATTGGATTATAGAAGGAAAATAATTTTATTTTTTTAGTAACTTTGTTTATTCACCAGACATACACACAATTAGATTTTCTTTCATAAAGAGAACATTTGAGTACAGCTGCTATAACTTCCTTATTTCTAGCGCTCGGATCCTTCATTACATGCATATTTATTTACCATTTTACACCAGATTACTTCAAGTATGAAGTTTGCATAAAAGGCCAGCGGGCACCTATTTTTAAAAAAAATGCTGGTGTTTCCAGCACTAGCTTGGAAGAACAAGAAAAAAAAGTTATCTTCAGGATAACAGCAAAATAGTGAGAATTAATTTGTGAACTGGTGATATAATTTTCTACTTTGACAGCAGCAGATTAAAAAACGCATCGGAATTTAATACTTAATTTAAAATTTAACTATCATCGTCATTGTACTTTATTTTGGCGTAAGGCATAAAAATAAAATCCAATAACGTGCCCAAGAATAAATGTCCCCCACAACATCTGCTCTTGCTATTTTTTTTAATAACGTTTTCTTCTTTGTTGAAAATAGAACTCTTGCGTTATAGAGTTTGTCAGGTACATTTGTATAATAGTTCTTTTTTTCTAAAAAGTATATATTTGTACTGTAGCATTTAGATTCGATTCACTTTTATACACCCCCCCCCGCACCGGCACTTCTTAGAGCCACTTCTTTGAAGTAAAAGAATCAGAATATTTTTAACCCACGTGAGGACTGTTAAGCTGTTTAGAAAAATTCGAAAGCTTAAAAGAAATAAACCAAACGGAATGGAAACAAATATTAACCAATTTGAATGAATGAACACTGAACAGCCTTACTTTTTCTGCCGACGAGAAACAAGACAATTCAACATCAAACAAAACAAAAAATAATTAACTAGAGTTAAAAAAAAACAAAAAACGTAATTGTACTTTATTGCAGTCAGTAAGTGTTTCTTACTAGAATTCATTACTTATATTTTTTTAAATATAACTTTACATTGGGTAGAATAAAATCTATTTATGATTTCAAGTTGAAAACAATGAATTAAAAGAGATCATGACGTGGAATTTGTCGTTTGTCTTCTTGGTGATTAAAACAAAAAATAAACAAAATATCGCAATTAATGTGGAAAATTTTATTTTTGTCTCTTGAAGGTGGAAAGATTTCTTTCTGAAAAAGAAAAACCCGATTTGTTCTTCAGAACTTCTTAAAACCAGAACAAAATACATTATTTTTACGATAAATTTTTGTCGAATAGTATCGACATTTTTTCATTAAGAAAATAAAAAGACGAAATAAAAGTATCTTCGTAATTTAAGAAAAACAAAAAAAAAAAAAAAAAAAAAAACACTAAACGTCAGTTAAAACTTATTTTTTCGAAATAAAACAAACAAATTATTGGCGTCTAAAGTAAATTAACGATAATGATGAATTTTAAGCAAATTTTCTTATTTTTTCGTTTCAATATGGGGAAAAATAAAGAGATCGAAATCTTATGGCAAGAAAATAAGAGTTTTTATGGCTTGTCGACAACTTAAAAGGCGACGTAATAAAACACGATTTTCTGGTGGAAAACAACTTAAAAATAATATTATCGCTTTATTCTTAATAATAACTTGATAAAAATATATGGTTTAAAATTAGGAGTGTTTACTTTTTTAATAATTAAAGAAAAAGAAAACGGAGTCGGGACGAAGAGAGACATGTTGTACAAATCCGAGTGACAAAAAAAAAAAAAAAGAGACACATTTTACTACTTTTAAGACAGTGACTTTCGGATTAAATATCTCACCTCGATTATTTTTTCCTTTTTTTTGCTGTCTGCTTTTTTGCTTGGCTCATTTTTCTTGGCTTTAGGAGGCATTTTGGGGGTTCTTTTTTACCCTTCTCTTCACAGAAAAATTGCCTTAAAACCCAGTGCAAAACCGCCACACTGAAACCTTCCTCCCTAAATACAACTGATTTCCTAGCAATAGTTTCGAATTTTTTTCTTTAAACCCTTATATTACTATTTGCCTGTTATTTAAAAAAAAATAAATACAAAGAAAAACATTTTGTTCATTTTAAATGTGAGAATACTAAAAAAATACATTTACTGATTACATTTAGTATCCTAATAAACGTTTTGTCTCATGTCAACTTAAGAGAATATTTTCTTGCTAGCTTTAAATCTTTCTAGCATCCGAGAAGTTGTTACACAGTGAAAGAAGACACGTGTTGTTATTGCCAAAGATATTTTGCATTTATTTTTTAAGAAGGTATGTTTCTAGACAAAAGAAAAATTGATGTCTAAATATTGATTTTATTAATAGTAAACTGTGTCTTCAGACGTTATAAAACGATTTTCCCGAGATGTTACAATAACACCAATTTTTTTTTAAACACTTTTAAAAATTTTAAGTGTTTCTGTTTTTACCGATTTACTTCGACAAGGTTTTTGTTTTTGTAGAACAATTTAAAAAAAAAAATCATGATATATGGTTATTGAGAAAGAAAAATATCACCTTATTTAGTTGCTTTTCTTTAACATTATTGGCAAAACCAAAACAGTTCTCTCTTTAAATTATCTACATTGAAATTGTGATTTTTGGTTTTGTGAGAATCTGTTTACGCTGTGTTATGTGCCCCTAAAACAAAGCTTTTTTTTTTTTTTTTTATTAAAATAAGTCAGTTCAACAAAATTATTGTTAACGTTTTTAACTTTTTCCCCCCCTAAGTATCAAAAAGTGAAAAACAAAAAAAAACGTTTAGCATTTAATTTGTTACGCTTACAACTTTTATTTTAAAGTTTTTGCGTTAAAATTTCTGTCAACCATCAAAAATAAAAAAAATGAAATCAATTTCACAAAATCAAAAAAAAAAAAAATCTCAATTTCAAAAAGGAAAAGAAAAACAATCAAAAAGCGTTCCTTAAAAATTCACTCCAACTTGAAATTAAAAAAAATATTTCTTAAAACTTTTTTATATCATTCCATATTATTTTATAACCAACATTTTTAGGATTTTAAAGTGAAACTAAAAATTGTTAACTACGCACAATTTTACATTTTAGAAGTGTTTTTATATATATATATAAAGTACAAAAAAGTATGTAGAATAAAAAACACAACGATCACATAAATAAATGTTTACATTATTTTACTTTCTCAGAGTTTCTGATTCGTGTCGTTATTTTTATTGCGTGGAATCCGAACCTCAAAAAATTTTGGGCCAAAATGTATGACATCCTTTTTTTTTTTTTTTTTTTTTTCTCTTCTTCGTTGAATTGTTCCTCATTAGCGCGCCAGATAGAAAAAATGTCTATTTCGAAATGCTTTTTTTTTTTTTTTTTAGTTTAAAATTGGTCTCTAACTGGAGTAACAAACATCGATATGAAAATACGTGTTATTGTACTTTGCTTTTTTCAACTCTGACATTTTCGGAGATTTTTTTTTTTTTTTTTTACTTTTGAGAAAAATTAAGTACTAATAATAAATTTTAAAATTGAATCGCGTAGTAGGAGTAGATTAGAGAGAATGTCTGTAAAGTGGAGTTCAGTTCATAATGTCATCTGAACCCTGACTTCTGACGATGTTCAATAATATGTGACGTGAAACCTAAGAGTAAAGACTAAAAAGAGTAAAAAAAAGCGGGGGGGCAAACCATGATTTTATGTTTGTTTACGCAAATATGGTTGTGAAGAAAAGGCAAAATTGGTATTTATTTCGTATTTAAGGAACTTTTTTTTCTTTAGTGGCACAGAATTAGGATTAGAACACTTCTTTTTTTTTTTTTTGCAGTCATATTTGCGTAAAATGAGTACAAAAATACAATATCAGCGGTTAACTTTTCTCAATAATAAAAAGATTTCCGAAAAAAAATGTACACGGAAAAAGCATATGTGACCTGCCTCGTCAGGACGTTAGCGATCATGGCTCTCCACAATTCCGTCTTTTTATTTTATTTTGTAGCTCTTTTTGTTATATCTCCTAAACCCTGCCATAAGCTCGTTAGTTATGCACTGTTTTCCCCTGTCTCTCTTCTTGCCTTATGTACTGTGGTGAGTGTCGAATTTTCCAAGCCCTCTTACCACATTATATGCCCTAGATATTTCAACTGTTTCTTTCTGATGTTAAGTATTAAATACCCATTTGTTTCGATTTTCTCAAAAACTTTGTTGCTCACATGTTCGGTCAGTGGTATTCTCAGCATGCCCCTGTAGAACCACATTTCTGTTGCTTCAAGTCTCTTCTGTGAGGAGATTGTTCAGCATTCATTGCCATACAGGAGGAGGACCGATAATATATAGTTGTTCAGCAATCTTTTCTTTTATAGCTGCATAAAATACTATTTAATTATAAAATTTTAAAATGTTAAAAAATTATATAACCAATTGTCTTTTTATAATGTTTTTCTTCTTTTGTTAAGCTAACTGTACTGGTTCTTTTGAATTAATTTGTAATCCTGGATTGCAAACTACATAAGAAAAATGCATTTTTATAGAAACGCCTTTTTAGTCAGTAGCATAGCGATACTTTTGAGTCTGTTGTATTGAAATAAAAGTAGTTTTAATGAGTGAGTACGAACACTGGTGAGTACGCAATAATAACTCCCTTGACCACTTGTTTTAAAATTGGTCTAGCTGAGGAAAAAGATGGAAAGAAATTTGTGAGCCTATGTGAAATTTTCTTTGGACCAATGAAATCCTTGCCTTCATAGAAATTAGTCGTTGAGCATAGAAAAAGAAAAAAAAGGAAATAGCGAGCCTATGTGAAATCCTTTTTGATATAAAATAAGGAAAAAAAAATAAAACAAGAGAAGAGCGTCCGAAGTCATGTGAAAACTTGCATTTCTGTTTCATCCAGTGTTCAGTTTTTTCAAATTAGTTGCCATTATTGGTCTTAACAATGGATTTGGCACTTCAAAGAACTTTATTTCAACAATCCAAAAAAATTAAGTAATTCAAGCTATATCTCTTCATCTACTTTTGAACGTATGCAACCATACCTCACTTCTATGAACAATGAACTTTCTTAATTCGTTTCAAACATTTTTGAATATTATGTTGTGTCAGATGATTGAATCTGTTGTATGGACATTTTCTCTTCATGACCATTCATCAAAACTATGGGTTTTAAAAAAAATTTCTGATTTTTTTTCCAGCAACAAGCTACTGACACAACTTCAAGCATGTAAATTCATAAATAAATTCATTATCCAGTGATATATTCAGGGCTGTTTCATCACTGTTGACAATGTGAAACCTGTGAACAGATCCAGGATGTGTTCTTTTAATAGCACAGCTATATATAAAACAGTTCTCAATGGAACGTTACAGAGCATAAATATTATAAATTAACTGTTTTAAAATATGGTTTCTTCGCTACACGGTAATAACCATGTTTCAAAAACTGAAGCTAAAAACTCCAAATTTAATTTTCATTTAATTATATAATTAAATTTGAAGTTTTTAGTATTAGAATCCTGGTAGGCAGTGATCGACCACAACAGCCAATTTCATGTTTTTTACGTGGTCATTGACTGTAGTTTGTAGAACGTGTCCCATATACCACTGGGTGAGTTCAAGATGGCAAATCAACTAAAACCGTCTTATGGCATCAAGCACTTTTGCCAGTAAGCAATTTTTGGGCAGACTCTTTTTAGAGTCTGCTCATCTTTCTCAGATATTCTATATGCTCTGATGTGACTTTAGTGGCCTGATTTAATATAGCACATTTTTTTGGCTTGAAGCTTTAGCTCCTTTGCAGTGACACTATTTTCACTTATGTCATTGAGCCTTTTCCAGTAGAATTTATTTTTTAGTTATATTTGATTTTGACCAGGTGGGTTTGGTTGGTTTGCCATCTTGAACTTGCCTGATGGTATATATGGTACCCATTCTACAAACTACAGTCACCAACTGCCTGATGATTGCATGAAAAGCACATGAAATTATCAGTCCTGGTTGGTCACTGCCAACCATGATTTCTACTTTAATATAGTAAAACTCTGCCATTTATTATGGCATCAAGCATTTTTTTTTTGCCAGTAAGTAATTTTGGGGCAAACTCTTTTTAGAGTCTGCTCATCTTTCTCTGTGATATATATATATATATATATATATATATATAGGAGACATGGTGGAGTAATGGATAGAGGCTTGGATTGAGGAATCAGAAAGCTGAGTTTGAATCCATTTGGGAAAAGTGTAAATTATCTTCTCCCTCCAGCTGTGGGTAAAATATCAGGACAGACTAGGTTCTATAGCCTTGGATGGCAACTGGTCTAGGAGAAGGACAACTCTGAATTCAAAACCTGTGGAGTGTTGTTTGGGGACCCTGTGGCATGTAGTGCACCAGGTCTCTGTATTCAGCTGTTCAAAAAGTGTGGATGGTTCTGCGCGAAAACTTCACCACTATAATCAAATCTCGTGCTGGTGTCGGGCTGTCAGTTTCCTAGGAACTGATTTGCTTGACCCTCATATGTCAAATTCGACGGGAGAGTCGAGTATATAATAGGGTCTCATTGTGTAATATGTTGTATTTTTTTGTAGGAGGAGGGGTGGCAAACTCAAGGGCTTCCCCGGACAACACACTCTACCCGGGACAGCACAGAGTCTAGCTACACCACTGACTTTAGTTAATCAAATTAACTGCTTATAAAAACACTGGGGCCACTTCATATCTCTAAGTTTGTCTTGATGCTTTTAATGTCTTGTTTTCTTTATATTATAAATTGGATATAAGGCTATAATATCAAAACAATTTGCTTTTCTTTTCTGGTATGCTTTTTATATTTCTTTATGAAGTGCTGTTCTGAATTACGAAAGAAATAAAAAAAAAAAAAAACTTTTAAAGATTTTCACTTTCATCCATCAGAGGGTACAACCTCATTGTGTGAAGTTATGGGGAAGAGGAATTCATGTATCTTTAAAATAAGTTTTGAAAAAAGTCAATTGCTTATTTCTATTTTTTTTTTTAATATTTTCTTTTTAGTGTACCATCAGTAGATGTCTCAGAATTGATTATACTTGCTGTAATTTTTGTAGATTTTTATTCTCATCAAAATTATTGTCACTGTATTTGCAGGTGCATAAAATCCCTGTCCATCCCTCACCACAAAGAAAAAGCTAAAATATATCTCACCCTGCAGGTTTTATATATGTATCTGGTAGACATAGACCACCAATGCTAGTACTCTATAATATTTCCTGAATCTACTTTGTCATAATTTTTATTGATGACCTTCTTAATATCATCAATTTTTAACTCTGTATCTATACTGATAATAATTATTTACTCTTCTCTTAATGGTAAGTCCCATAAATTTAATAAAGTCAAATTGTCAGCTGGACTGTTCTTAACTGAGGCAAGAAATGGCTTGTTAATTTTAACATCTCCAAAGCTAAACTGGTGTCTTTTAATCATCTTTTGAGAACCTTTTTTACCTTTCATCAGCATGCCTGATGCTAACCTCCAAGAGGGTGACTCATTGTCCCTACACTGGCTAACATTTTCTACTAACATGAAGTGGAATGATTATATTAAATCAGTTGCTCTCTCTCTCTCTCTATCTATCTATCTATCTATATATCTATATATATATATATAATTAGTGATACAGAATTAGGATTAAGACACATTTTTGTAGTTATATATAAGGAAAAGTGTTAGGAACATTGTTTTCCTGTGTCGTGATAGATTCTGGCAAGAAAAATTGTCTATCTATCATTCATTTGTGCATTGAATATTGCTGCTACATTTGGTCTGGTGCTTCTGGTATGTATTTAGATACTCTTGAAATAACCCACAGAATCTGCAATGTTATCTGTTCTGATCTGGCATCTCAGCTTCATTCACTTTCCCATGTAGATTCCCTGTGGTTTTCCTATAAAGTTTTTCCTGTTCTGATGAGCTATTTTGTTTAGTTTCTTGTATATTAATTGTATTCATTGTAAATTTTCATTGGTGTTTCTTCTTAAATGTTGTTATTTTTATCCTCCCCCCCCAAAAAAAAAATTGTACATATGGTAACTAGTTAGGACTACATGGAGACTTTTAGGTATTATGGTAGCTGTAGTAAGAATGCTAAGAATGTGTTGTTTTGGTGTAAGGAATACTGTGGTATGTTTAGGGTCAGTAATAAGACAGAGTGAAGACCAGCCTTTCCCCTATCCCCACTTTTGGCTTTGTGCCACATTTTTGTTTTTTTTTTGCTTTCAAGAAGAGTTTAAAAATTTTAAAAGTAAATGAATTCAACACATGGAAGATTTTTTATACATATATTTTATATAAAGACCAACATAATTTGTAAAAGAAGAAAAAATTATATTTATGTGTATACAAATAGACAACTTAAAAAGCAAAGAAAAACATTTATGAGATCAATGGTAGTGTATGTGAGTGTGCCACTTGGTTCAATGAAATTAAGAAGTCAGCTTGTCTTGTAAGTTTCCCTCAGAAGGGAAAAGTCCTGTTATTGGCACCGTTATTACTGTATACATTTTAAAAAGCAATAATGAGTATATGAATAAAATCCAAATACATGAAATATGGATTTATACATTTTTTTTATTATTGAGAATTGACAAAAAAGATATTAAACACAATTAGATTGCTCATTTACAAGAATAATTTTATATTTACAAGATTATAAAAATTTGTTATTTGGCAATGTTTAACCTTTTGTGCATGCAAAATAAACAGTGTGTCAAAAGGACAGTCATTCCCTTGACAACGTTATTATTATATACACTTAACTCCCTTGGTACTTGTTTATTTACAAGATTATAAAACACTATGTAAACCAAATAAAATGCAATATTTATTATTTACTTTTTATAAAGATTTATTATTCATCATTTTATACAGAAATAAATTTGAAAAAAAAATTACATAATTATCAAAATATTTAAGATAAAGAAATGCCCTCAAGCCATTTTAGTGAATTTATGTGGTGAGAGCAAATGAAAGAAATGCCTTGAAAATTTTTTTTTTTTCTTCAAAATTTATGATTGCGGTTACTCATCATTATGTGTTTATTTAAATTTTCTTGTTCACACACATTTTTATAAATTTATGAATAAAAACTTTCATATATATTTCTTTATAAAATTTTAAATAATAAATGATTTATTATAGTTGATTCACATATTTTTATAAGGGTTGATATGTCATAAAACATGAATCTACCAAACCAACTAGAACTTGAATATTTATTTTATTTTATTTTTTTTCCAGCCTTGATTTGCATAGCTGCTCTTTGCATTTTTTAAAACTCCCTTGCAATGATTACAGGCAATTTAGAATGCTGTAAAAGACCTATTACATCATTCTCTGTGGTAGAGATGGTAGTAGCGGTTATGGTGGGCTTTGGCAGAAACACATTCTGGCATGAACCAAAGCTGGCTCTTTGGTTTCTGTTGATATTTTCTCTTTGGGATAAAATTATCCATGCCTGGGATGATCCATTTAGGGATGAGGGAGGCAGTTCTGTTTTTGGAGAAAACTGAAAGAGCTTCGCAATGTATGATCTGATGCTGTCCCCATCAACTTTGGCATACCAAAAGATAGTCTTGTGACACTTTCAGTTTGCCATCAACTTTAACATTGATCAGCAAGTGGTCAGAATTGGCCAAGCAAGGTAGCACTTTCGAGCATTTTTTTCAGGGCAAGATGTGAGAAAGAGGTGTATGAAGTTTGTGTGATGTCCCATTGTATCAGGAACATGTGTGGTCTTATCTACCATCCAGGTCAGATCATAAGTGATAGAGAAGTCATGACTCTCTCACGTTTTCCGTCATCTGTTAGTATGTGCTCAGGATAGTTAAATTTCTTTACTTGCTTCATTGTAATGTCTTCAATTCAAAGTTCACACCTTGGGATCTCCCTCTCTTTCTGATAACCATACATTCTGCCTTCCTTCAGTTTATGATTAGTCCAAACTTTTTGCTTTCCTTTGGTAGCTTTCTGCCTGAATATGATATTCTGTATCTGTTGTTTATGAATGAAAAACCTAGTAACTCTTTTCACATACCTCCAGAATATGACTTTCTAGTTTGACATTTTCTGATCTCCCACATTGATAGTGTTCTAAAATTTCATGAACAAGAAAAAGTGATTTTGTTGGATTGTAGATGGAACTTGTAGAATGCAATATGAAAATGAAAGAAAGTGCAAGCAAAAAAACCTTGGGCAACTACCAAAGGCCTGTTGTGTTGAATGTACAAATGTTGAAATTATAATAGCAACAAAAGCTAAAAGATCAACTTTGTAGACGCTGGAAAAAAAAAGAAAAAAAGGAAGGTTTTTATTTTTTTTTTTTTAAGATAAAATTTGCTCATGATGAATATATTTTGAAGATGTATATGCTTTTGGTTTCAGTTAAAAAAAAAAAAAAAATGGATGAAAAACCATCAACCAGTCATGAAAATGAAAATTCCCAAAAGGAAATCCAAAAAGATCAGTCAAGTTCCAAAGAAAACACATCTTTGCGAATGAGTTCCCAGCTGACATTACTAAAACACGCTCTCAATTCAGACAAAGTTCAACTCTGGAATCCACCTTACACATTGGAAAATGGAAAACGAGGGGAGATAACTCAGGTAGGTCTCTAATTAACTTTCCTTCATTCTGCTCTTACCTTTGTCTGCATGTTACAGACCATGAGGATTTGGCCAATCTGTAGTATCATTAGATATGACTGTTGCTATTTTTTTTTCTTTTTGCAGTTATTCAGTAGTTAAAGATTTGAGCAACCGATATTTCTTGACATTTGTTTTTCTTTTTTTTAAACTTACTGCTTTGTTTATATATATTTATATAATTAATACAAGTAAAAGGTTAGTCACTTAGTTGATTGATACTACCTTCAGCATCCTGACTCCAGAGTTTCGTAGATGGACCCTCTGAGAATCACTCTGTCCACTCATCAAGGAATGTCAGCAATTGACTGCTTATACTTCTTGATTTTTTTTTTTTTTCTTTTTTTTTTTCCATAGTGTATATGTGTGTGTGCCCATGCCCGTATCTGCATATATGTAGAATGTCATAGTTATTTGTCCTTTATATCACTTTTTTGTTCACTTTATACTCACTCCTTATTGCTTTTTACCTTTTCTTTCAATGGTAACTCATTTTGACTTTGGTTTTCCAGACATACACTGTTGTTGTTAGATCTTGAGTGTTCTAGTGTTTTATACTTAATCAATTTACTCCATGCAAGATAATAATGACCCTAAGATGCAAGGAGCTGCTGAGAGTGAAAGAGAAAAAAAATTTCAAGGGACTGGAAATCCTGTGCTAAACAAAGAACAAGGGATAAACCTCTTTTCCTTTTCAAAAGACTGGGGAGGTGAGTGAACAGGACTACATGTGAACCCATCTACTTTTGTGGAGAAAAAAATTAGTAAATAAAATTTCAGAGTTTAGACGGAGACATTAGAAATATAGAGCTGAAGTTTACTAAGCTTAGTGTTGTATGGCACTAAATAGTAAGTGAGGCAGTAAAGTTGCCATGATGATCAGCATTTAAAATCTTGGTTTTTATTTGGGGTTAAGCTTAAATTTTGGCTCTGGTGAGAATATACATCTACTAAACTGAAAAATATGGATGTAATTTTTTTATGTGGAAATTTTAGAAATAAAGAATTATTATATTCCTTATTATTTTGACTGACATGTTCATCTTGCTTGTTATACCCTGTGTTTTAGCCATTGTATTTTCCAGCCTTCTTCAGGTGTCTGCCTTTATATTTGGTAACATTAGAATTATGAATTGATCTCTTTATTCATGGAGATAATATTTATGTTGGCCATACTATGTTGTTTTGGTGGTTGAGTTTTTATTTGAATGACATGTCTAACATCTCTAAACATTTATAAGCATGCTTGTCCACATTTGCAATTTAGAAAAATTCTTGTCGAAAATACATCCATACTTTTTCATGAAAATAATAAACTAAAAATCCTTGAAGCTCTCTCTGTTAAAAAATTGAAACCAAACCTTTAATAAAATTCCTTCTGAATAACGGCACAAATATTCTAAAATGTTTACTATAGATATACTAAAATATCAAGATCTATATTAATGGTTTCTCGTAATATTTTCTTCTTTTCAAAAGGAACTCTTCACACATCATAATTAGTTACTTCCCTTAGAATGTAAACATATACCACATAGTACAAAAATTAGTTTGTCCTCACTCCATATGTAAAATTATAACTTTCAGATGAACATAGCAATTTTGTCTTTAGAAATAATGAACACTACATTTTTATCTTAAAAATTCACCCTGAGGATGACACTTTGTTACTGTCAAAAGTACTCTGAATAAAATATGTATCGACACAGTAATTTTCTCTCTTCTTTTAATAATGACACCAAAAAGCTCATCTGAGAATATGAACGGATCCTATTGAAAATAATCAGATTAAACTTGACTAAAGTATTCAATAAAACTTGTCTCAATATGTAATACATATAACAATAAATCAAATAAAATATTACAATTTAATCAATAATACAGGGTTCTTCAAAAAGAGTGAATCATTTTCATGATGCATTGCTTCAGTTCTCAAGCATTGTCATGGAATGAGTCAGTGTCCATTTGAAAAAGAAGTTTTCTAAGTTTTGAATGGCTGCCACAGGGGTGCTCTAGTTGCATCATATCTCTGGCAATGTTTAATAGTTTGTTTATGCCTGGAATGGTGAGTCCTCAGCAAAAGGTGTTCTGCATTCTCAAGTTTGGGAAAACAAATATGGTTGTCATGGTACAGCAGGTTTTTCGAAGGCAATTTGATATTAACCTACCCTCTCCAAAAAACATTCGACAAGAGTGGGTGTCTGTGTAAAGGAAAATGTCCAGGATGACCATGAGTTTTAGAGGAACAAGTGTTGAGAATCCATGCTGCATTTGAGGGGAGTCCATGGAAATCCACAAATCCTGCTAGCCGTGAGTTTGTAATGTCTCAACCCAACATCTGGCAGGTGCTAAGAAGACGTCTACATTTGACACCTTACAGACTATGCCTCATTCAGGCATTTACCAAGACTTTGCTCTTTGTGCTTGGCCTTTGAGCTTCCCTGACCTCACCGTGAGTGATTTATTTTTGTTGGGATATATAAACGATTGCATTTATATTCCACCAATACTCACTAACCTTGATGATTTTAAACATCAAATAACAACAGTGATCAACTCAGTGGATCATGTTATGTGGATACGTGTCTGGGAGGAATTATCTTATCGCATTGATGTTGCCCATACTGCAGGTGGTGGCCATATTGAACTCTTGTAAGACAGGAAATAAAAGTTGATTGTGAGTAGAATACTTGTGACTTGGCTGGAGTTTTCTATTGCTTTTCCTTATTAAAATATTGCGTAATGAAATTGGTTCATTCTTTTTGAATAACTCTGTATAAAATAACATAACAACTTCAATATAAACCAAAAAAAAAAAAAAAAAAAAAGGAAATTTAATTTTGAAGAAAAATTTACTTTCAAAGAAAAATATACAACTGAAAAAATGAAGATCTAAACAAAAGCAAAAATTCATGAATGTGCATGTGTACAAAACTGATTGAAGAAGACACAGAATAAATTAAAAAATTGTAAATATTTGAAAAACAGCACCCTTTGAAAAATGGACATTACCAAGAAACTTCAAAGTTCATGAGAACTAAAAGAAAGATAAGGAAAAAGTAAAATGAAGAACCTTAAGGAAAATGCATATCCGCAAGGCAAGATTTAAAAACCCTGAACTAGTTATGATTGTAAAGGTATGCATTTTATAACCAAAGCAGGATAGGTTATTAAATTCAAAGTCTTTCAAAATGTGGGCACCAGAGTTCATTTTTACTGATATATAGATTTAGTTGTATCCTGCATCAGATACACTTAGTATGTATCTTTATTATTGGTTCATTGATTGCTCTTAGTATGTCATAGTATTTTGCATTTATTAATTTGTCATTTCAGAAATTCGTGTCTTTTTTATTCCATATTCCAATCTGGTTATTGATCAACTGTTTCACTTTTTTCACAAATAAACCTAACATGATGTTTATTTATTAATGTTAATTCTCAAAATGCAGATGGTCATGGAATTGTGAATTTTTTTCTTCATGTGATTATATTTTTTTTTTCTCTTTCACTAAGAAGTTTTGTTTTGTGTTTTCAGGAGATGCTTTCTAAATATTCCTCAGTTGTGAAGACTTCCCAGGAAAGTGTTCTTGAAATGATGGAAGTTCTGCGCATGAATGCTGTGAGAAAGTTGGCTGCTCGAGGAAAGTTCTATGAGAAAGGAATTGCCACTTTAAAGCTCAGAGTTTGTGCAAACTGTGAATCTCAGGTAAAATGTTCCAGGAATTTGTTTTTTATTTAGATTTGTGGAAAAATTTGTTGGTCCATTATTTGAATAGATTTTTGAAAGAGTTTTGTTTGTTAAGAAACAGTCACTTAATTGTAAATTTCAAGTGTGGCATCAAAACATTCAAATATTATATTGTAAAAGGAAATTTTTTTTTTTGAATATAGACATGTGAAGTGAAATAGTTTTGATTATTAAAATTTACAGGGCTTACAGCCATATAGCTTTGAAACTCCAGTTCCTGTATGATCATTGAAGTTAAGTAACATCATGTCTGGTCAGTACCTAGATGGGCAACCATTTGGGAATACCACGTGCTGTAAGCTTGAATATGTGAATACCCTTAGGAAAGGTGTAAATCCATTTCTTCTCCCCCAGCTGTGGGTTAATTAGTAAGACTGGTATCACTAAATCATTATTGTCTCCATAAAAGATTCTTACAATCTGGAAATGTTTTCTGGTTTTAAATAACCTGCGGAAAATGAATGAATGAATCAATAAAATGAATGCATTTTTGTCTGATGGAAATTTAGAATATCTGTTTATGTCTCTGAGATGAAGTATTATGATTACTTGCATTATTTACATTATTCAGACTGTTATCCTCATCTTCATTGCCATATTCACAACGTTTTGGCTGCTGTATGCTCTGGCCTTCTTCAGGTGGTTGGAATTTCGAATATGTACACACAAAAAAAAAAAATGGTTGATGAGACATTAGGTTTATAAGTCCCAAAAAATTAATACATAGATGTTCTCAAGGACATATGGCTCAGTGGATAAAGATGTTGGTTAAATCCATTTACTAGATCCAAAAAGAGTTGTGAGTTCAATACCAGTTCAATTTTGGTGGATGAAAAAAAAGTTTCGGTTTGAAATTCCAATTACCTGAAGAAGGCTGGGCCATACAATGGCTGAAACGTGAATATGGTGATGATAACAGATAACAGTCTGAATAATGTAGCTAATGCTGGGAAAATTAGAAGAGTCTAAAATATTGACCAAGAATTGAAATTTATGAGTTGCAATTAACAGACTTTGGACTCTAAATTTTATTAATTGAAAAATTTTAAGATTTTCAAATTGGAATATAAAGTTAGGAGCTTTGGAAACGAAACAAAATCATTTTTTTTTTTTTTTTTTTTTTCTCTTGAGAGTGAAATATAAATTTTAAAAAGGAATTTGCCATTTCTTATTTATTTTGCCCTTAAAAATAAATACAAATCATTTTTTATTTTTATTTTTTGTTCTTCATTTTCAGGTTTCTCGTCCTGAGAGTGTGGAGATCAGTTTACAACAAACAGGGTGTGAGTTAAAGGAGCGGGTAGCTGAATTGTGTGGTGTATCCTCCGATAGAATAAAATTAATTATTTCTGGCCAGCTGGTTCAAGATGAAAATAGTTTGATTTCTCAGAATGTCAAGGTAAGCATTAACAATGTGTTTAGTATTTTGGTCCCAAAGTCTCTGTGTTAGTCACTACTTTTAATTAGTAGATTTGTCATGTGCATCAAACGAGAGTTGGACTGAGTAAAACTTAGAAATTTAAGCTTTATTCTCAGACACATGATTGATATTTCTGAAGAGTAATTGGCCATAGTTAAATGTAATTGGTAGAAATATTCAACAAGTAGAATTGACAAACACTATTTACATTATTCGGACTATTGTCCTCATCTTTGTCGCCATATTTATTACAACGTTTCGGCCATTCAGTATCTGTCTATATTTCTGAGATGAGGTATTATGTACACTATTTACATTATTTGGACTGTTGTCATCATCTTTGTCGCCATATTTATTACAATGTTTCAGCTGTTGTATGCTCTGGCCTTCTTCAGGTGGTTGAAATGTTGAATTGAATCCTTTATTTCGCTCACTGAGGTAGACTGTTCTAGTTCCACGTGCCTTGTCTAATGGATGTCAGTTATCTCCTGTTAATTACCTTCTCCAAGTTCTCCACCGCCTTAACCAGGTATTGAACTCACACGCTTTGGGTCCTGTCACTGGATCTAACTAACACCTTTATCCCCTCTGCTATGTGTCCTTGAGGACAGGTTCTACTGGACCATGTGAACTCATTAAGACCTTTTGATACAGTTCACGATGGAGAAAGAGAGTAACAACACACTCCCATTCCCATCTCAAACAGAGCATGGATTCAAGACATCCGTATACTGTAAACTGACATTCACCAAACAGTACCTCAATTTCAACTCCCACTATCCATACAGTGTAAAGAAAGGGATTGTCTGCTGCTGACAACACCAAGCAAAAGTCATAAGTGGTGACCCAGTGACATTAGATAAGCTGAAATGTTGTAATAAATATGGTGACAAAGATGAGGACAATAGTCCGAATAATGTGAATTAGTATAATAATAATAATGAATTTCTATAATAATGCATTAATAATAATAATGCATTTCTATAGTAAAATTATTTTCCTTTTTTTTTTTTTTAATAGGATCATTAGTAATGTACTTACCTTGTATGTGTAATACTTACCTTAATTCCTGGTAATTGACAGTCACTTTCTTTTTGATTTTAAAAATATTTCTTAAGTAAAACCATTATCAATGGTTTTACATTAAATGTATAATAGTACTATTTTTATTAGTTTGACTTGCATTAATTCCTGACCACTGACAATTCCTTTTCAATACACAATATGCTGAGTGTTGAAAGTTAATAAAATAAATTACAAAATTTGGTGTCTCTTGCTCAGCCACTTCCACTTAAAATATTTAGTATTTTGCTTCAGAAAAATATTTAAAGCACACAACGTGGAAATGGTAAAGTAGTGGTAAAGTCAGTGGGTAATGATAAAAACTGAAACCTTGTTTCTACTGCGTTCAAATACAGTTGGTACTATGCTAAAATACAACTTTGTAATTTGGGTGTTTTTGTTCTTCATTATTGCCAGATTTAATTATTGGAATGAATGAAAGTTCTCCCCCTCTACTTGCTTCATAAAATCTACTTAAAAAATATCACATGATGTTTTGCAGAGCAGGGACGTATTCAACAAAAAATCAAAAATTGAAAATTATTATATCATATCCAAGTACTTTACAAAAAATTAGTCGATTACACAATATTTCAAGCTCAATTTAGGTTTATAGTTCGTAACCATGCAATAAGATGAAGTAGCAAATTGTAGAATTGTCTGCGGAATATCATTAGATGTTATTGTTACATAATTATAGTGAAATCATTAAGGTTTTTTGTCAAAGGCATATTAATTTTGGTCGTATATTAATTTAAATTAATCCTTTTTAAAGTCTTTATTTTTGAAATGGAATAAGATCATTCTAAATTTCAGAATTTCGCTATTCTATATCAAAATGACTGGAAGAAAGTGATCTAAAATTAATAATGGAAAAGAGAAGTAACAAACTGTAAAGGAAATTGCTCCATTTTGTTCAACTTAGGAAACTTAGCATTGCAGCCAAGTATTCTAAAATGCTGCCAATAACAAAGGAGAAAATGAAAAATACCAAACAACAAATCGAATATAGCATCAAAATTAATATTATTTTTATTTATTTATTATGTAACTAAATACATAATTGTCAACTTGATATTTCATGTAATGAATTCTTAATAAATATTATTATTGTTATTATTTTACTTCAGTGTAAGGTAGTCCTACATTTACAATTCCTTACAGCTAACCACGAAAAGAAATGTTGATCAAAACTGCCTAAAACCTTTAAGCACATATTGCTGCAAAATTATCAAATGTTGAATGCACTCCACCTTCATTGATCATATAGCGAAAATAAAAAGATATAGAGAAACTGTCTGTTTAATTACCTTGAAAATCAGCATTCAGAATCTTGCACTTTTCTTTGACTTGAACACTGAATGTTGGCTCCAGGAAAAAATATTTTCTTTTCCAGTCACAAAGCAACCCAAATAGTTGAATAATTATGTCATCTTATAGAAGTAAAATATCAAGGGAAGTAACTCTTGATAGAGTAACTTCCCTTGATCATTAAGAAACGTGAAGAGTAAGCGTTCTCAAAGCAAATTTGTTACTTTCACCACACAAAGAAAGAAAATCACTTGTAACGCGTCAGGAAAATAACTCACTAACGCCATAGCCAAAAATGCCCGAATTTTCCTTCTTTGTGTGGTGAAAGTAACAAATTTGCTTTGAGAACGCTTACTCTTCAAGCTACTTCGGCAGATCGCACACAAAACACAAACTTTTTTCCAGGGTACTTGATTATCTCGTTCACTACACTCCCCCCTGTCACATAAGTGACACTCATGGGCGGGCCTCTTTATTCTTAAGCTTCTCCGGAGTGGGGCGACTGTTGAAGGAGATTGTGTGTTATGTTCTGAGGTTTCTTCTGATCTGACAACCTCATGCGCAGTCTTCATCATCTGAAGAATGTTCTGAAGATTCTTCTTCTGAGGATTCTTCTGGTCTGACAACCTCGCACACAGTCTTCACCATCTGAAGAGGTGCTAGCCCTACCTCCGATGGTAATTATTTGTTCACTTTCTGAGCACTCACTGCTAGTGTCACTTGTTGACGTATCTGTACCTACATAGCGACGCAAGTCCTTTATGTGTCTTGGTATGCCATCAACCAGCACAGAACGCGAGTTACTTAGTAGTCCAGTGACATGCCCCACCCAGTACCGGGTTGTACACCGGCTATGTGGAGATTTCACCCACACGCGATCGCCCAAGTCATACGGCGCTCATTCGTTTATCCGTTCAGTTGAACGTGTTGCGTCAATGCCTCGTAGCCGGACTTTGTACTGATAAATCATGTTGGCTGGCGCAGTTGAGGGCGATACATAAGGGAGCTCGCATCGGATGTGAATTTAACATCTGGATCAACGCGAGCTCCCTTGGAAAAGGAGTGTCTCTCGAAGTAGGTGAAATTAACAAATTTGCTTTGAGAACGCTTACTCTTCAAGCTATTTCAGCAGATCGCACACAAAACACGAATTTTTTCCGGGGTACTTGATTATCTCGTTCACTACGAGTATATAAAAGTATATTTAAGTATACAAAAATAATATTTAAAATCCTAAACTGAAAAAAATCTTTTTTTTTTTTACAAACATCAGAAATGATTTCTGTCTGAATTTCTGGAATGAGGAGTTATCATTATTTACACTATTTACATTCAGACTATTGTCCTCATCTTTGTTGTTGTTATCACAACGTTTCAGCCATTGTGCCCTTTAGCATTTAATTATTGATCTGGGTAACCTACATAAAATTCCAAACTGAACCCTGTATTTAATCTATAGTGGAGTATACTGTTCTTGTACCATTGCCCATATCTAGAGATATCTTGGTTAGTTCTTAATTTTAGCACAGCTCACTCTGTTTCCACTGAGACCCAAGAATTGAACTCACAATTGCTATGTCACCAAATTTATAAACCATTAATCCACTGAGTGGAAAAATTGAATCTTAAACCTATCCTGTCTGCTGATGAGTGCTGCTGCTGCTGTTGTTTGTCAGGCTTGACTGTACTCATAGATGATATTTGACTTTAAAGATATGTGCCACAAAAGTTCATAATTATGAAGTCTAAAACCTTGAGAAGTTAGAAATCATGATATTTTTTATTCCTTTGTCCCTTCAAGTTCTTCAATATTTTGAGTCAGAATTTTTGATTTTCTTTTTTCTTCTCTCATTATTAATTATGCTAAGCAGTTACTTTGAATTTAAGAAAAAGAAAATTGTTTAGAACCTTAAGTTGAAAACACACAGACACACGCACACACACACAGTATGTACCTTCAAAAATGTGATACCTAAGGTTTAAAATGTATTTTAAAAAGGAAAAATATTTCTTGAAGATTTTTATTTGTCTTAATTCCATGCCAGTAGGTTAAATTTAATATTTCCAATAAGCAGAATACTTTGCTGTATTTGAAACCGAATTTAAATTGGAATTATTTTTTTTTTTTTAAAATCACTAAAATCGGCCATATTGACAAATCTGTCAGTACAACATAATTCTCTTTATTAAAAGAAATCTTTCAAAAATAAAATATAGTTCTCTGAAATTTTATTTGAGGAAATTTAAAGTTTAATTAATTTGAAATAAAACAAATATTACCAATAATATTACCAGTAAATTTTTAATTTACTATAGTAAATACTCTTATTTTCTGATAATGCTGTAAATTCATATTTACCAAAATTGGCACATTTATACAAACAAAAACTGGTTTTGCTGAATTGTAATAAGCTTTTCCATTTTATGTTTAGTATATATACATTTTATTTAATAACAATATCACTTGATTACAGATTAATACAGAATTTTACATGATTTAGAACTTAGGATAAAAAATATAATTTAATAATTAAAAAATCCTTTGGTCTTTCCTCTTAATAATAACAAAGATTTTGATGATAAAATTTTGTTTTTATTAAGTTGGT